CTGCTTTTCCACCATCAGCCCTTTTATAGCTTTCTATGACGAAAATAACAGGTGTTTACTACTGAATGTTTTTTATTTACGTCGCACACTAGCTTGGAAATAAAAATAATATTATACAATGCTGTCAGACTCTTATTCCTGGAATTCAACCAGAAATATTACTTAATCTTCATAAACCGAAATAAACACAAAATATATATAGTGACAGGGTAAAGGCTTGATAGTAATTAACGAGAACAGGCTCTCATCTGCGGCAAGCGTTATTGCTTTCAATCAAATCTTCACTATACAGTTATTTTAAACAGCCACAAAGTTGCACTTAACATGATTATAGAAATAGATTTGGAAAGTAAATTATTTATCAGTCGCAAAATGGAAAGTCGGTGACGTCACGACCTTGCCACTAGAAAAATGTGCCGCGTCGCAGCCTCACTGCTGGCTCATCACGGCCCGGCCATCGCTCTCTGCTGTCTGCACTCCACCATACTGACCTCACAAACCATGATATATACGTGTTTTTATAGTAAATTATACGAGAATATGGTTTTTATATTGTTAGTTTGTCTCCTATTGAGGCATTTCGTATAATTATCTATAATTGTATAAATATAGGATATGTCGGAGTAAATACTCTGTTAATTTGTAGATCTTAACTGATTTGACTTTGAAGTTATTAAATAATCAAAATGGCAGCTGATACCAGCGCCATTACTCCGACAGATATATTATATGAAAAAAGTTAATAATTTTATATTTTTATAAATTATATCACTTTAGTAGTATTACGTAAAGATTCATTAATGTATGAATGCAAGCTCTTGAATTCTTTACATAGTGTCTTGTTTGCAGTGTGATTTTTGATATATTTTTTTGGAGATATTTTAATGAAAGTTTTCAGGTTGTTGTCGAGTAGTTGCACAAAAAATGTATTATTTGGATTATTCATTAATGTAGTTCAAGTGACTGTTAATAGATACATAGAAAATAAGAAATTAAAAATATTCTTTATATAAAAATGAAAAATTGCTTTCTATATTCATAATGAATCAGGAAATACTTATATACCATAAATCAGAAATATTTGAACGCTTTTCAAATATCCAAAATATAAAACCCTAATAAAAACAATGAGCCATAATAAAATGAAGTTCCACTTAAAAGTGGAATAATTGTGCCATTCATTATTATGATGTACGGACAAAATGGACCATTATGTCTCTGGACCCCAGTAACAATGCCTATAATTCTTCTCGACTTCATTAACAGGCTTCCATTTGCATGACAGCCTCGACTTATGTACAACTACAGCTTATTATAAGCGCTTTGTAGATAAGACGAGAAACGTCTATAATATAGCCCGAAAGACAAAGATAAAATTAATTGAAACTCTATTTTGCTGTTCAAAATTTAACCTTAAGTCTTGGTATTACGCTTGTCGTAGGATTTTAACGACTGAATTTCAGGCTAGTTGTATGTCGGTGGGCGCATCTCTTCCTCTCGCTCTGCGGGGCGTGGCTCTCGAGGGCACGCCCTTCCTCTCCCACTATGAAGGCTTTCGTTGAACGACTTCATATCTATACTAGTTAACTGTAAATTGTATATTTCTTATGAAGTCTAGGGTTAAAAGCGTCGCAATTTGAAATAGAATCTTGTCTTCTGAATTTCTATTGTTTTCCTTATATGGTGTCAGAAGCTTTCACCTTCGTATTATCTTAATACTTGAAAATTTACTTATAGTTTTACGTATTTTTGCCATTAACAATTGACCTTGATATGAATTTAGCAGCAGAGATTTAAAAAAAAAATTGTATATACAATAGGTACAAGTAATGTAATTCACGGTCATTATAAAAATTATTGTATTTAAAATTATTTTTGATTTTCATTAATAATACATAGTAACTTTATAAACAACAGAAGAAAAACATTCATTTTTTTAATGCAACCTAGGCCATGTATACCAAACGTGTAGTCGAAAATTTGTCACACAAGAAATTTCTGTATTCTAATTTTTTATTTACATTTTATCTGTCACGACATTAAAAGCGTTTTTCATTCCGATTTTGAAACTACTCAATTAAATTCATAAATTGTAAAACTGTCCCACGATATCGCATAATGCACAAACAGCATGGTCGGGTTCACCATTCTTGTTCATATATGACAAACGGAGAGATGATATAAATTGTAATCATGGCATTTCATAAAAAAGACAATGTAATAAGGATCCTAACAGGTATACAGATGTAGTTCAGCACATAAGGCAAACGGGAGGTCAGGGATAGATACATTCCCGTACGTTGTCGAACCAGATTTACGTTCTTGAAAATGAACAGGTCAACAGTATATAGTAACAGTATGAATGTTTAGAGACAGGGCTTAACAAATGTGTAGCATCGATCCCTTTCAACGAAAAAAAAAAAGGTTTTAGGATATTAAAAAAGTCAATAAAATATATATCATATATTGTAGGCATATAAAGCATCATAAATATGGTAGTTGATTATTTCAATAATTATTTACGTTGTCGCGTTATCAAAGGAACACGATACAGATTCTAATAACAAATCGTTTCGTATTACAAATTATAAGAAACAGTGTCCGTATTGCATTTTGATTCAATGTGTTATCTGCAACTATGTAAGCGAAATACGAGTATACGCCATGAATAAACCTAGCCTGAAGCCTTAGTTATTTCTCGATAAAAATTACAATAAAAATATGCAAAACTAAATAAATTCCTAGCAAGGAAATCGAGAAAGCTATTTAAACGTTGTTCAATGATAATAATATCATGTGGATTTGAGACACATGTGTATAGTTTTTGAAACCTCCTTTATTAACGGTTGCAGCTCCTTCAAAAACATTGCGTAAAACAAAAAACTTGGCGATTAAAAAGAGTGGCAGAGAGTTTATTGTTAGTTCTTCTTTTCTTCTACGCCCTTGATTTGAGAACTGGCAGTAAATGTAAAATTAGAAGCATTTAATATATATTTCGTTTTTGACGTTCATAAGTGTACATTGTGTTACCTATATGAATATTTTGATTGATTTATTGATATTAGTTTTGTGAGATAAAATTTGTTCTACATACCGAATAATAGAAGTAACAAAGAATCTTCTGAGAGAAGAGGAGCACGCTCATTCAAAAGTTCTTCGAAGAATCTTCTACTCTGTTAGTATTGTCTGATAGTTATGAATAAAATTCATTACAATATTCAATGCATAATTGCTATACATTAATGCGCGGCTAAATGGCATTGAGCTGGAAGGTTTTACATACTATACAAAGAACAAATATGTGAAGACTTCGTACATATGACTGTTAGCTAGAAGTATCACTCTATATTCCCTACAGATAGGTAGGGCTGAAAGACTATTTTACGAAACCGAAATTCGGTAGGATCAATTCAAACACTAATAAATAATTTAAATTATCACGATGAGAACGTTAACTTGTCCGCTGTTGTACCACTAACCATAATGATATCGAAGGCGAACCATGGTCATTAATTTATTTAAAATGCTCTTCATTGTTTTAACTTAGAGCCACTTACTTTGGACTCAATCAAATGTTCTAGTCTTGTAATTTATGTTCTCAATCAGAATTTACTTACGACTTGTTTAAGTGTTTTCAATAATAAACAAAGCTGTTGCCCATTATTGATGGTCATAATTTCAGGCTATTTCTAAGGATCGCCGATTTTTGGTAAAGACAATCTATGTTATTGTAGTAGTAGGTATCATAGATTTCATGAGGAAATTATAATTTTATTTAAAATTATCATAGTTTTCAAATTATTGTTTGTCTATTGAAATATTGTGACCTGAATAATTATTGCAAGTTTTGTGTAATCACCTATTCGACTGGTTACAACATTATCGCAAATTCAGCATCGATAAGTCATTGTCCTCATTGTGAGGAAAATTTCAAAAAATAAAACAGTAATAACATGGATATTTTAGAAAATATTTAGTAGGCAGTTCTGCATAAACTTTTGCATTGTTTGCAAATCTTTTTAGTAAATAAACTGGTACATAGGAAATTATTTTTCTTTTCTTTTCTAAAAAGTCTCAATAAAACTTTACAGTCAATAATCATATGAGATTAAAGACAGGCATTGGGATGTAAAAATATACATTTTACGTGGGGTATAATGATTTAAAAATAGCTACATAATAAACAATGTTTTATTAAATAGAAATTACTATAGATAGATTAGCAATTTTTTTTAAAGTTATCACAAATATAACATTTAGAAATAGCGCAAATGATGTTAAAAGTTTGGCATTATATTTTTTTATCATGTAAGGTAGTAGAATGTTAATCGCAAGTTCATAGCAGGAATTATATAGTTTTTTCCTATTGATTTATAACAGCTAGATATTCCTAGTTATGTCATATTTTAATAATTCAGACTCAATAATAATAATTCATGATTATTGAATGTTTAAACTACTATATAATAGTTAACAAATAAAAACCAATCTGCTGCCGACCGTCGGTATTTATATTTCTTTTGTATAAGAAGTTGCGCTTTATTTGATTAGACTAAATATTATATTACCACACCAACCACCACTTCTGACAAGGAAGCAACAATAAAATAAAATTTTATTTTTAAAAGTTTTATTAGGAAAACAGAAATTCCTATAGATAGTTTATCGTTATTAAGTAGGTATAATGTCTATTTACAATCATCTCATATCTGACCATTTGGTTGTCGAGTCATTCAGATAATGTATATTACATAAATTTATATTTTAACGAAGCTATGCATAAATTACGACACAACCATACATCTCTTTAACACGGTGTAACAGCCACCTCTATCGATCCGTCGGCTAAGTCGTTCCACCATTAATAAAAAAACTATAAAACTGGAACCGATTATCAACTTCAAACTTAACAAAAGCACGAGCAGTCCGCAATGAAGTCAGTAGCGCTGCCAGGCGCAGGCGGCGGAGGCCCCGGAGGGCCGCGGCGCCGCGCCCTGCCGTCACAGCTCCGAGAAGAATTCCGGTGAGGAGTGCGGTGTCGGCGGTGCGTGACCCGCTTGCGGAACAGCGTGCTCGCAACCCAACAGTGCTAGCCTCTGCTTCAACACGTCACGCTCGTGCGTCATCCTTGCCACCTGCAGCTGTAGCCGGTGCAACTCATCCTGAAGCGACCGGTTTGTCAGTTCTAGCTCCTGCCGCTGCTGGAGACGCTTACTGCGACAGTTCTGGGCGTACCCTCTGTTTTTTAACGTTCGTCGCTTTTGTTTCAATCGCGTCACGTCTTCTCGGGGAAATCCATGAAGGCGCTTATTCAGCTCTCGCACGCTAAGTGTCATCAGTAAATCATCACTTAATAGGTCGTCTCCACAAGAAGATGGCTGGTAGGAGGGCAGCGGGCCGGTTCGCGGTGAAAGAGCGGAGCAAGAACTAGGGGGGCGAACTCCCATCTGCTGCAAATGATGATCCTGACCACGCCACTCGCGGCGGTCCCATTCTTCAAAATTACCACAAGGTACGGTCCGCATATCAAGAGGTTCTCTCATGTGCGGCAACCATAACACGTCATCTACCGGAGGTGGACGACTTGGACTGCGGCCAATGGGCGCCGGTGGCGTCTCTGGAGGTGTGCTGGGATCTACCGCGATGGCGACGTGAGGTTGTGGGTAAGGTCCGGCATCAGGCCACTGGCGGCAGGCGCGAGCGCAAGCAGGCAAAGCATCCACAAGATCGTGCCAACCCGATCTTAAGGGTTCCCGCTTAACTAATTGATGGTCTTCAAGATGGTCTAATTCAAAGTTCTGTACGTATTCATCAGCGAGTTGGTCTTCGTCCTCGCGGTGAGCTTGCGGAGTGACCGTTTGCATGGCGCTCGACTGAGAACAGTCGTCGGGCGCGTGTTCTACCATGTAAGCGTTCGGAACGCGCGTCGGCCGGAAACGGACTGCCGTCGCGACGCAGGGCGGCGAAAACTCCGCCCTGTAGCCCAATGACGTGGTGCGACGCGCGCACACTCTACAGCCTTATTAACGTGGATATAAGCCTCGCAATGAGACATCGCAATATAAACACAACATATTTACTTACGCCACACTTACACATGTAAAAGTACCTTATTAAATACATCGGTGCACTTAAAATACCTACCAGACTTAAGACTACTAAAGTTACATATTACTAGGCTTATGTTCTTTCTCACTTTCACAATATGTAATGAAAATAATTACGGTCGAAATAATCATTATTTTCGATTATTTTTATTATTATTATTTACGTCATTATTTAATATGCAACAAAATAATTGCCTTTTAAACAGAATACTAAAATGTTTGACAATATTTATGAATGCTCCAAATAAGGTTGTTAAAATTAATTTAGAACTGATCGTTAAAATATCACAAGAAAATAAAACTCATATACCTAACTCTTACTTAATATTCCTTTGGACATATTTGCAAAAAAATCTGAACTAGGCTTGATGGTAATGTTTTCACTCATATTAACAATTGTTTATAATTAATAAAGGTTAAACAAGGTTTTAGCGATATGGCTAACAGTAGCCAGAGCAGTGATTTCACGGATCGCAGCACACGAGGGGTTAAGTCAGCGTAATACCGAATTACATTTAATCACCAACCTCTACCCGCTACTCTAAACATTTAACCCTTCCTTATTATCCTTAAATAATTGAAACGGTTCTCCAATTATAATAGAAACAATCATTAATATAAATGTATCTGTGCTTTTCGAATATTTTTAATGTAAATACTTCATAGTCATGAGGCCTTTAATGATCTGTTGCTTTAAATAAAAAAATAGTTTCTTATGAAAAATCTAATTGTATTTGACCAGTATCCTGATTTTGAGTAACTAAAACAATGCCAAAACTATTTTTCTTCCTATGTCAATCAAATTAATTTTTGAATACCGAATTGGAGTTTTTTTATTGGATGCACTTAATTGTATTATCTACCTAAATAATAATACTTCACAATGTAATAGATAATAGAAATATAATGGTAAATAACCCAAGTTTAATTGAGAAAGGCATAGATATAGACGTATCTGATAGGGTACTGGGTAGCGATGCGCGTGTGAATTCGCTGACGCAGCATCCACCGCTCCGCTGTTTACTTACCACGGTCAACATTGTTAGCAGATTCAACCGCGAATGTTATTACATGATTAACCTAACACGTTCTCATCTTTTGTTTAAACTTTTGCTAATTATCTGCCTTTTTATTTAGTATACAGTTAAAATAAATACACTTTTGGCTAATTCTTAATTTAATCAATTTAACAATATTAAAGTTGAATTTAACATTATAAATCTGTTGTAACACATAACTTTTTGTAATGTTTACAAGCTTTTTTAAAACAATTTTTTACTTGGTGGTCAGCGAAAGATTGTCACGTCAAATTGTAGTTGTACCACGATTACAAAAGTGTTTATATCCAATAAAAAATTTAAATATGTCGTAAAGCAAAGACAATATAATGTGATAATATCTTTAGAACTCTTGGCTCTTTTGGACAGACTCAATTTCACGTAGCGAATTCTTCAAGCGATTTTTTCAAGTAATTGTTTATTCTATTATCTGTTTTTCTATAAAATATATTTAATTTTAACAAACAAAACATAATCTGATGAAATTGATTTATTGAAATAAACTTGAATTTTAATGAGCTGTGTATACTCGTAGTAGTCGAAATTGTAATTTTATAAAGAACACTACTCTTTATTGGCGCTTATCTCGCGATTTGGCAGACAATTAAACAGCTTTGTATATAGCTGTTTAGGTAATTGCCACATGGCGTCGAATTCGCAACTCACTATTATCAAACATTGTAGTATGATAGTTCATGGCGCGAATCGCTAAAATAAACCAAACATAATAAAATACTAAAATTATTGATACGTGGTAAGCGACCTAAAATACAGAGCCTAGCACACATTCATCGAGGATTGTTGACAAACAATAGACGACAAGGTGGCTTCAGGTTGAGAGGCTGCCTCCCAGAGGCGGAACACGTACGCGCTGGTATCAAATGCTCTTCATCAATTGATTTCCTCCCACTGCACCCTCCAACGCTCTCAACCGATGATCCTTACTCCAACCTTATTTTACATATTTTGAATGGAATCTTTGACTTTTAATTTTTAATCGTAGGGTGTTACAAAGTTGCGCTTGTGATTTTATATTTGCAAAATAAACAATATTTTTTTTAATAGCCTAACTGTATTATTACCGTATCGATAAAACTCTGTCATTAAATGTTTCGTCTATTTTATTAATTAAAATGCCACAAAAGTAATACAAAATCGTTTAAGAACAAAATATACAATGACTATCTGTAGGACCCATGTTTTATAAATAAATAAGGGAAAATCCTTTTAAAAATCATAATTCAAAATAATAGTGGCATTTGATTCTAGCCTCTAGATTTCTATAACTGTTTCCTCGATCTATTTTTTATTTAGGCATGTAGGTGATCTGCCTTTTGTGCCTGCCACACATCGTGGAATTTCGGGCGTAAGGCACTTTATGTCTTCACGTTTTTCTTCTTCAAGTATTATTTACGACCCCAGTATTGAGAATGCTGCGCTTAGCCACTAGACTGACATATATGATCTTTTCAATAGTCACTACAGGAATAAAAATTTGGACAAATGCTTCCGCCATGTTGTGCAAGGGAGGTTTTAGTAATAATATACAAACACATTCTCGATAGTAGTTATAGTAGAATTACAATGTATTTCTAAATTGTGTCATCTCTATGATGACCTTCACGATCAGATAATCGTCCAACGCCCTCCGCACATGTTTTTATGCAAAGTCAGAGGTTGCACGCTTTTGCAATTAGATTTCCGTATCTATATAAGGTAATCAATAGGTTAATCATGAGAATGTAGTCTGAGTAGAAATTTGAGAGCTTAAATCAATACATTTAATAAAGGTCTTCTTTATAAACGTACACAACAATTCTTTACCTAATCACTCCCGTGTCACACACCGGAACGTTTTTTACGGAAAAAAGTAATAGTTGATCTTTAATAATGCCAAAAGCTTAACAACGCCTACATCAACTTTTAAAATTCATATTTAAACGATATAGATTTCACAACTGAAAACTTCTCTAAAGATATTTATTATATTTTTAGACTTAAAATATCGACTATTCCAAACAATTTTATAGCCATAACGAAACGTTTCTCACGTAATATACAAATACGAAAGATGATTATGACCATTTTGATTAAACTGCGTGTTGCATTTTTCCCATAAAATTGCGCAGACCGAATATGGACCGCTGCAGCTGTTGAAATGCTCCTCCGGGGAAGAGGAAAGAATAATATAAATTTCTGAGGTGAATGGAAGGAAGACCAAAGAATAAATCCAAATGAAAAGTTCTGGAAGAGGTCTTTACACTAACGGGGTCCAGACAAAACACAAAACAACAATAACTAACCTAGACTAATAATCAGTGGCGCTACAACCCTATCTCATCTCATCGTCTTGGCCTCAAATTATATCCGTTTCTTTCGATCATTTTTATTTTTATAGACAAGTAGGCAAACAGCCTTCTGTGTCGGACACATATCAATCTTAGTTTTTTAAGACTAGACGGTTTCCACACGATGCTTTCCTTCACCGTAGGAACAAGTAACATTTTCGAGAAAGAAAAATCCATTGGCACAGCCGTACAAACGCACAACATTAAATATGAAAGTCGCGAAAAGCTACTGGGCCAATACTGGTCGCTTAGACTCGATTATTTAATATGTAACTTTTATTGTATGCAATAAAAGTTAAATTAAACATTTTTCTGTGTAACAGATACATTAAGTTAGAATAGGTTTTGGAATGTATTAATAAAAAAAACCACTTATAATTTTATATATTTATTTTCACATTTAGTAATAATTTCATAACATTTAAGTATAATTCACGTAAAAAACAAATAATATAATATAGCTAGTATATAATATCGTTTTCATAATCCCTGTTATATTAAACATTCATAAAATTATAAAAAAATTAAATGGTATTCATATCACAAATTAACAAATTTAGGAACAGTCTTTATGAAATAAAGATTTGTAAAAAAGTATAAATCATCATAAAGTATAATTAATATTATTCTAGACTTGTTGGAAATAAAAATATAGAAAAAATATATTATAAAGCACATTTTATACCTTAGCTACCCATAAATCTTAATGATAATATTATTTTGCGTGATTATAAAAATCTCAATTTTATTTTTTATATAAAAACAACATAAGAAAATTTATTATTTCATAAACATAGAATAAAAATATAAATCTATAAAAACTTCCCTCAACTTGTCATGATAACTTAAAAACGCAAAATAAAGCGAAAAAAATGCGAATAAAAATGTTATAATTTATATTCTATTTGTACTTTTTCTGTTTTGCACTAAATTATGGCAATTAAAATAATCTCAAACAGGTTTAAATTATTATTATGGTTAACAACTATAATACTCACGCTATCTCTTTCACTCTACCATAGGAAAAAAAGGACAATAAATTTAGTAATTGAGCAATTAAATTGTATTACAACATTTAATAATCTTTACGATGCGATGGGAACGAAATACTTCACATTCTTTAAAACAACAAAAATAGTTAAATAGAATTACCATTTATCCCTACATGTATGCTAACTTTATAAAGACCAAAGCTAAGACGAAAACCTAGTTAGCGTTCTATTTTATTAAATCTTTTCTTATTATTAAATCGAAATAAAACGTTATTAATTTATGGCTTCATTTGCGTTAAGGCGTAATCGTGGTAATACATCATTATAGCGAGTGGTTGACCGAGTATGAGCGAACTCCAAACAACCATATTGCCCCAACGCGCTCCCAAACGCCACTCAAATACCTTTGAAATGACAGCTAGAGGCGGTTGAGCCATCATCCCTAAAAACGCCCACACTCGGAACATCTGAAGCGGGACACTCACCTAAAATAATTATATTAAAATAATAAAAGAAATTTATATCGAAAACCTACTAATCTAACAAAATCTAAAAGTTTTTGTGTTTTATTTATATTTTGTCAGCAGCATTTTATGATAATTTGTATGAGCGCCATCTGTTGATAATTTATATTACGATAATAGATGGCGTTGCTATACGTAAATTTTTTACGAATATAGCTTGCTGGTTTATAGTCCGCGAAAAGCGGCGCTAGTGTCTATTCAATTTAAAATATTATCCCGATCGAATTTTATTCCCGTGGGACTTCATTTTATAAGCAAGGGCAATTTACTATTGCAGTAAAACTGAATAAGAATCAATATAAATAAGACTTGATTTCAAATTATGAGACAGCGTGCGCTTTCCAAACGAAAATATACGTTATATTGAATACAAAGTTGTCGGTAGTAACTTACCAAATATTCATGAAAGAACGCCGATATAAAGAAGACCATAATAGCCGACACGCCTTTACTATAGCCCATATTAGTAACGGGCACGTATACGTGTCGTACGGCCCAAACGTGCACGGGCATATTCCACGAACTCCAAAATACGGAAATATTACGCGCGTTCCACCAATCCCCGTAGAAGTTACGGTCTGCGAAGTGTAATAACTCGCCCATTAGGTTTAGGAACGAGTGAAATGTGAGGTAAAAGAAGCACAGCCATAGTAAATGGTTAGGTATCTGAAAATAATTATTAAACGTCAATAAAAATCTAGAGCACTACATAGCTTGATCTTGACCTCAGATTTCTGCATCTGTTTCATGATTTTATTTAAATAGTTAAGTAGGTGACCAGACCTCTTTAAAAAGAAAGAAAAACAATGTTAAGCATAACCAAAAAAGATTTACCATAAAATAATAATAGAAAGAAAAATCTATTGGTGCAGAGCCGTGATTCTTAAGCACTACCTCAGGGGTCTCACGCTCAAGCCAGTCTTAAGGAAAGTTAACAAAACTACGTACTTGAGAAAAAATCTAATATCAACAAATATACTTGCAAATGTTGAAATACCAAAAGACACCTAAACTTAGATAGATATTTTAACTGTCTAGAGAGTAATAAAAGAAAAAAAATAATTGAGTGAAAATAACATTTCAATATAAGCATTTTTCTGTGTCTATCAAATTTAAAACGGACCGATTTTGATGTTTTTTTTTTGTTAGTGGATCCGAGAATGGTTTAGATTTAAAAAAAATTTATTATTTATTTAAGACGTGTACAGTACAACGTTTGTCGGGTCCGCTAGTTATGTATAAATAATACAACGAGCGTATCAGTTAAGATAAGTATGACAATTAACAACTTAAAACGGTGGTAGCCGTTTTCAAAATATTTTTATATATACTTACGGCAAGTTTCAACAATCTCTCTGTAATTCTTACATAATCCATTTGCGAGAAAGGATCTAGGGCGTTCGTCACCGCCGGTATCATCCACTGTTGAAATAGTGCCATCACAAGGTTCATACCGAATATTACTTCGACTATTCTTTTGATTAGGAACCTCTTCCTAATTCTGTAACAGGTATAAGTCAAATAATGATCAATAAATAATACGTATAAGAAGTATTGAAGGCACTGCGATGGTTTTTCTTTTACAATATTAATTATTAAAAAAAATAGTGTTGTGTGTTGCCTATTGGTTTGAGCGCGCCATTCTTGACACTGAAGTGATGCGTACGAACCGGTTGTGCACAAAGTATAAAACAAATTAAAATGTTTTTAATGTTTTTTAAATGTTCTTTGCCTATGAATACATTTTCCATTATATAAGAGCGTTATTACACAAACTTTAAGGCTAAGGATACATGCTTTAATTATAATCAAAGAAAACATTAGGACACAAAACATTTTGGTGCGAAATTTTTGCTTATCATAATTTTTTCGTCAATCAATTAAGTAGTCTTTTTTATAGTAAAAAAAAACATACAAACCTATTAGTACGAGGGAAATTCAATTCATAGCAAAGGGTAGGTGCGAGCAGGAAGTAAAACAAATCACCAAGCTTCAAGTTATCAGGATACTGTACGATGCCTGTAACTACCTCGTCGTCTACATCTTCTGTGAAGAAACGAACGTTTTTTCTTACATCACTTCGGTACCATTGTCTAGTATTAGTAGCTAACATCAAATGTTTGTATGAAAAATATATCAGTGCCTCTGGTGTTTACCCACGAAACTAAATCAGTTAATACAAATATTTGACGCAGGTGGTAAGCGTTTCATACATTGTTAAATCGTGGTAAAGCTCCACTAAACACATCGGTCACTCATTTGCATTCAGATTTAACGAACGAATACTTCTATATGTATTATAAACCGGAACTTGCACTCGTAGTTAATCATTTTTAGCAAATAAATTCCTACCGAATTTCTGCCACACACAAACAATGAACGATTATTTGCGTGACTGGGAGTGACCGAGATATTTCTTTGAATTGGTCTATAAAAAGTATGCAGCGTCCTACACAAAGCAGTATATACTATTTTTAGTATATACTGCTTGGTGTAGGAGTGGTTAGGAGCTCACAGTGGTTGCCTGGAAGAGATCGCTCGAAAGCGATAAGGCCGCCAGTTGCCTTTCCTTTACTTGTAATTTTGTTAAATTTTTATATCATAAAGCAACAAAGTGTAAATAAATAAATAGATGGTTTATCTAACTGGGGGTCACAATATTCCATTCCTTATAATTAGGGAAATTTTACTTTAACCTGCGATCATGCACACTAGTTTTAGCTAACAATTTACAATATAATTTTCATTATTAATATTAACAGAATTTTAAGTGGTTAAAGTGTATTTTCTTCATTTATTCTTTTAAATAAAAATCGAAGCAATTTTTTAATTTCAACACAAAAATGGAGCATAGATCTTAATAGAAATAATATAAGCATGAAAAGATTTTCAACACATAAATCAAGACCAAATAGATCAGCATAGAGAAAAGACCCGAACCAAAGCTTACAGAGTAGTTAGAGTGAAAAGATCTGTGTCTATACAGATTTAGTAAAAGCACACAAAAGTTATTAACGTCTTAATTCGTAATATTACCTTCGTCGTTCACAAGGGCATCTGTAAATACGAATATTGTTTTAAAATTGGTTCAAACAACACAATACTAAGCATCCTAAAATATTATTCATAAAAGTTGTCGCATTTGTTTAGCATGAGAATGACATTGACAGAACATATTAGAGACTTATAGTACATTTATAAGACTGACAGACACACTTGTAATATTTTTTAATATCATGGTTTTCCATTTATTTTTGATAAGTAATAAATAGCAAAAGGTTTTATGATTTATTTTCAAAAATGCTACTTGAGCCGTCCATAATCACGCGATATTACGAAACAATGTTGTCAATTATCAAAGAATTCAAAGGTGAGATTCACAAAGAGTCCTTAGTATGAGCTATGTATTATGTAACCGTAGATATGTCAAAAAACAATACATTGTTTGACGTACGGGGGAGTCACTTTGAGCTTAGTCTTGTTTACAAATCTTATCCCAAGTCCATAGACAATATCTTGACAAAAATTCAGGAAATATTTAATAAAACAGTTTTATCTTTATTAAAATATTCACTTTAAGGATTTTATATTTCTAAACTGAAGATTAGCACCTAAAGAAAATCCTAATTTAATATAAACAGGCCGCGAAGATCGTTTGTCTGATTAAACGCGATATCTCAGGAACACCTGGTTGGAATTTAAAACATATTTTTGTGTTCAATAGGCATTCGCCGAAGAAGAAATTGGTTAAATCGCCACCGGTCTCATATAAACGCCACCCAGTATATCTAATTATCTACTTAGTAAAAAATATCCATAATAAGATTGTCTCTCCTATCTTAAAGGTACAAAGATTATCAGGTGATTAAATAGATAATGTTTACGAAATCGAATCATTGACTATAATTTGAATTGGTAGAAAATATTTTAACACGAGACCCTTATGCGATGTATATAACAATAATAGTGACATAATACACATGTAGACAAATTAATATTGTGGATGTGAAAATTAATTGTAGCCACTAAGCGTGAACCTTTACTCTCTTAACACGAGTTCGTCACGGTGTAATAAATTTAAATTTTCATCAAAATAATGTGAATATACACAATTAAAGTCTAGTCAGAGTACCATTAAAACATGTTCGACACTGTTACGTCATAGTTCGACTTAACAAAATCATACCCAACATGAAAAAAGGCATAGAATTTTTGTGAATTAATAAAACTACGCGTAGGAGATAAAAATCATACTGTTTTGACGCTAGTTCGCATAACCGACACGCAGATTCTAATTAGAAAGGAAAGGATTTTTTGTTAAAGTATTTTATTTAATAATTGTAAATAAAACGGACAACTCTATACAATATCGAACCCAACCACAAAACTGAAAACTATTTTTAATTCATATTTTAAATTACCTCTAATTTTTGACCTTTGAGTTCAAGGCAAGGTTCAAACTACTTTAGCAATCTAGTTCTTATCTACCTCATATTACAATACCATTACATGGTAAAAATAGCTACTAGTCATCAACAATAATAATAAATAAGAATAATAATAATCAACAAGATAAAAAGAAAGAAAACTAAGTTAAAATTAATAAAAACATCGTTCACATATACGCTTAAATTAAAGCATTTAAACCGGAATAAAGTTTATTTATCCCAATTTTACAATAGTTACCCTCTGTCTGTACAGTTCTAAAATTTTTAACTCAGAATAATTTAAGGTATTTGTATCTGTTAAAATCGCGGTATGATTAAGTGAACGAGTATTTTCTTTTTAATATTATTAAGCCTACTTTAATAAAATCATTTTTGCAACAATTGTTGTGGGCACAGAAGCCTGATCACCTTCATCCACTTGTATTAAAATAAACAATGAAATAGAGGTAACGTATCGGCTTTGACCAGTATATATTACGTTACGGCAACTTCGACTTTTTTATAAACGCTTTTACTCTTTCATAACCATAAATTAAAAATTTAAAAACAAATATATTTTTTATGGAGATAAATTATTTAAAGTACTAAACATTAATTGGCAAAGTAGTAATTGCTACGATTGTCACTAATATTCCTGTATAACATCGACATGCAATAAATTTTCGAGTCGAATATATAAGGCTGTAATTTAATTTTTTTTAATTTATAACGATACAAGCTTATTACTTTATTACTAATACGTAAGCAAAAAAATTTCATTATACATACAATAATATTATTATAAAAAAAAATTGATCTATTTTATATGAAATGTATTAGTTTCTATTATATTGTCTATGGCCTTAACGGTTTTTTGTTTATAATTTAATGTTGTTTGTTAATGTCACATGGAATAAATTCTTATACGAAGTTTTGTTTGCTACGTTATAAATGATTTCTTAGCTTATTATATTGCTTTTCCGTTGGAAAATTATAATATACAACTCTTCTCCTTAAACATTCTGCTTCAAATTTGTTTGAATTTTATTACAAGTCAAATAAAAAAATGCAAAATAATAAATTACTTACTGCAATTCGGTACGGATAAACTTTGGCGACGAAGTGAATTTGATTGTTTAGATTTTGCAGCTCGGCACCAATGATTTGTTTGACAATAACTCCACAACTTCAAAAACAATATTAAGTACACCATACAGGCTGTTGATATGCCAACTAGAATAAAATTTTAATATTTGAAAATAAATTATATAGAATCTAGATTTATTAACACTCTCAATTCCAGACGTGTCCGTTGCCGACTTTTAAAGAGTTGGTACGCTTATTACTTGGAAGGATCAGATTTATACTTGGTATAAGTATAATTCAAAAACAAATTTTTTTATAAATGAAATATTAATTGGAATAAAAATAAATTGTTCGACAATTCTTTTGACTTAATTTAAGTTTGCGACTCTAGAATACGCTTCTAAATAGCTCTCTTTTATAAGCCTCGTATTGGAACGAAAGCCGCTTGTATAGTTTAATACGTGATGACAAATTTTCTTATCTTCCTACATATAATAATAAATCTTGCTTACCAATATTAAATTCCTGATTAGTGAAATGAAGCGCAATCACTGGTAAACTAATCTCTAGAAGTATTGTTATTATTTGTAATGATTCACCTAACTTATCCGAGAAGAATTCCTGAAAATATTGTTATTTGACAATATGTATTCAAATTAGTTTTATCTATATAAAATCGTAGTTACTTGACCAAGTTTAACCGATAAAAATTCATTTAATTTTAATCATTTTTAAGTAATTATTTAGCATTACCCATAACCTGTAAGTAATGACCTTTACAGCAAAAACAAAGCTAAGACAATTATCTCTATTAGCAAAATTGTACTTTGAATATGTGCGAATTACAATCTCTATAGGTTTGTGACTTGTTGAAAAAAAAAATTTTTTTGTATTGCAACAACAGAAAAATGTCATGTAACAATGTTTTTGAAGTTATACTTCTTTTGGCGCGTTATGAAAAATAAAATTTATGTTACACTTAATGTAAGAGAATAATAATAAATATTTATTTATTTAATTTTTCAAATGTAAACTGAACTTTATTGACTGTAATGACTCCATTTCCAGTTTTTGATTATTTAATTGTAATTAATTATTTGCATGCAATCAAAAACTATTTTTAATAATGCCAAAGAAGTATAACTTCTTACGCGCGTACATAAGTACATGCACTCTTTTTTATTTATTATTTTTAAAAACATTTCCAGAGGCTGAATATCCACCTAATTTAAATATAAAAAACAACTCACCACAGCAATAGCTTTTTCAATCAAGAAGCATACAACAGGAGGTACTCCACTAACTACAAAAAAAAATTAAATGACATTACAAGCTTTACAAGAGTTTTATCCTCATTTACACTGGTTCACTCATTACCAAACATTTGTTTGTACTTTATAGTTCCTGATATTTATAAGAACTGCAGTCTATATATTATATGTAGCAAACATTCATGAATGTCTACCAGACTGTTCTATAGTTTTTATGTATATGCTATAGATAAAGCTATTGAAAGCTTTATCACATAATAATAGAAAAATAATGTTTCTTGTCTGAAATTGGGCAGTCCTTTTGGCATTGATTTAAGTGTAAACTACTAATGTATACTTACAACATAGCAATATTATTGAAGGATACTCATGTTTATAATTTTCATCATTATATCCCGTTAGTACAATAATCCACTCAAAAGGATTGACACGAATTCCATACCTATAATATATGAAGGTGATAAAGTTCACTTCTTTTATAAAATTAAAAATACTAAGAACACATCTTACCTATAAAACCCTAGAGAAGCATGGAACGAAATTATACAATTATGTCACTAAATATGTGTCTATGATTCCAGTTCATAGGTTTTAGAGCATAAGTATTTCTAGCTTATTTATTTACACTTTGTGTTACCATAATATACAAAATCATACATATAAAAGACAAAAAAAAGCAATTTACTTAAGTTATTAGGAAACGGGCGGCCTTATCACTAACAAGCAATTTCTTCCAGGCAACCCTAATATGGATAAATAAAAAAAGAAACACCTACAGCAGGTAAAGTAAAAGAAGTGCAAAATTAATTAACAAAAAAAAACATGTAACTATAACTAAAATTAAATAAAGTAAAATCTAGAGAAAATATATAAATAATAATATGTATGAACAAAAATGTAAAAGCTAATCCAAACGTTAATTGAGCCACAATTAATATATATATAAGTAGTAGCTAATTACGAGGCAAAAGAAAAATGGTTATATAAAGATTTTAAAATTAAATTTAAAGACTGAGCTTGTCTGTCATCTATTGGTAAGGAATTCCATAGCAGGATACTTTCCACAGTAATGGAGTGAAAGAATTCAGTTTTATGAGCAGGGTTTCAAGAATTAGCTTAATAAATAGATGGAAATCTATTTGTTACTGTTCTTTATTTCTAATATGAATATATTATCTAAGAATATTGCTTTTATTTGAATTCTGAATTGTTGGTAAATCAGAAGCAGAGATCAGAATTCTGACCCATCTAACAATTTCATAAATTGGTTTATCTAACCCTTTATTATATTATATTATTTCAAAAAAATAATAATCTTAAATAGGTTAGGTTTTCATTTATATGTACTTACTTAAGAAAGTTTTCAAGACATAAGCGCAATCCACTGATAGTTAGCATGAGAAAACCCCAATTTACTAAACCCGTAAAATTTGTGAACTCTGAACTCCATGAGAAAAGAGAGTCCCTGGGTCTGTGACAGCTGTAAAAATTGAAAATGTGAAATGCTGTGAAATAACTTTTTACTATGTTAATGTAATGTTACGTACGGCTTATCATACTGTAATCTTCTAGCCTTATTTTCTTTCTCTGTAATATCTTCAGCGGTGGTTACACTCTGAGCCCTCCTGTACCGCAAAGAGTTATCCTCTCTTTTGGCACACATTATTTAATATTTATTCTGAAAATATATCTTAAATATTTAAAGCTGACTGCGAAAGCGAGCTTTGCGTGCTTTGGATATATATATTATTTTATCCTAACTCCACTTTTGCTCTTAGTATCCACTACGCTACAACTCAATAAAACCTGAATCACAATTAAACTTAAAATAAACTATTGAATTATATATGAGCTTCTAGGATCAATTGAATATAATTTTAACTATTTTAAATTTTTTGTCACAACGCCACAGACTTTATGCAAAGTAGTAAGTACATTATACCAAGAGTATACTAAACATTCAATGCCAGACGTCAATAACTCAATATAATATGAATTTATATTTTATGGTGTGAATTGTGAAAGTACTAGTTTAAAAGTTTGAGTATGCTGTATGACCATCTCGAAAAAAATTCAGCTATTTTAGCAAATTAATTTTATAGGTTGTACTGTGTTTATTGCTTAAAATTATTGTCTGATGTGACTATTTGAAAACTCAGAAAAATATATGTATCAACTGTTTAACGATTGTTTGTTAATAATAGTTGTTTGACAAAGTGATTATTTATCAATGTTTAATTATTTATTTTTTCAATTGTATGCAATTCTCAATTTTATTGAAATAAAAGTGGAAGAATACACAGACTTTTGATGTGAAACATCTATAGCCGCACGTAAATTTACTGGCGAGTAATCTGTCTAATATTATTACACCTGTGAACGCTCTTGAAATAAATATGCCACGAACTCTTTTTCACGATGCCTATACCACAAAACCCCTTTCCCCCTTTCCCAGCCAACAGATAGGGGTTAGGGTTAGGGTTGAAGACTCCTTTCTCCCAATTAGACTCGAGGTTGGTCCGTTGTGCTACATCTCTATTTAGCCACCTACTCCTTCAAAGCACAAAGTCTCCTGGCACTTCACAGGCTTCCCGGACGACCTCACCGTTCCAGGATTTTTTCACGTTATTAGCCACAGCCTCCATTCCAGGACTACGTGGGTGACTGTTTCCTCTGCGCTGAAACAGCCTCTGCACAGGGGGCTGTCTGTCGCGCCTAGGATAAAAAGATGTTTATTTAGGAGGCAATGACCCGTTATTGTCCCTATCATTATCTTAAGGTTAGTTCTGTTTAAGTTAAGTAGTCGCTTTGTCAGTTGCGGGTTTACTGCTGGCAAAGCCACTTTGACTGTCTGCAGGCCGCACCATGCGACCATCGTTGTTGCTGGAGTTCAGCGGATCTCTCAATCAGTTCGCACCACAGAAGGGCAAAGGAAGGAGCGGATACGGGCACAGCATCATTCCGAGCCTCTTCTCCAACTCGTCCCACATCATTGCCAGAGATCCACTGTGTCCCTTTATCCACTGCAAGGTAACCTATTGGTTCGGTTATGACCTCCAGTGCTTCATGACACTCCAGTATTAGTTTGCTGTTGGTTTTTTGTTTCCGAGCGCCATCAGCACGGATGCACTGTCGGATACAATTTAATGCAAAAGTCATTAATCCTAGCCGCTGCACGGCTCTGGCTGCTTCGGTTAAGGCGACACATTCACATTGAAAGATCGTGCTCTGTGTGCCCAAGGGTAGGTGTATGTTGATGTTGAGATCAAGAGAGAATATGCCAGGCCTGAGCCAGACCCTGTTTTGGATCCATCTGTATATATACGAAGCTCATTTACGGTCGACCGATCATGTTCCTCTTCTCTCAGTTGTATAAGATATTTCCTGTTAAATATTAATTGGTTAGTGATTCTATCACAGGGCGCAGCAATAAGAGGTTGATACTCTATTGCCCTGTTGAGAATCGCTGTGTGTGTACTGTAGTGATTTTTTCCCCATAGATCCAGTACCATAAGCCTGATAGCAGCCAGGGCTGCCTCCTGCTGTATGTGTAGGTCCAGGGTAAGATCTGCAGGGCCATCTCCATTGCTGCAGTTGGTGTTGTATTCATGCAACCGCTAGCAGCGGACAAAGCAAGCCTTTGGAAGCGTCAGTTTAGTAATTGCCGTTTGAAGTTCAGTTCTGGGCCACCAAACAAGGGCTCCATAGGCTAGCATTGGCCTAACTATGGCAGTGTATATCCATAATGTTATCTTAGGCGATAAGCCCCATTTCACGCCTAGCATCTTTTTGCATTGATAAAAGGCGATCGTTGCTTTGTTTAGTTTGTGTTCTAGATGTTTGTTCCAGAGCAGTTTACTGTCCAAAATCACACCTAGGTACTTGATTTCATACTTGAGTATGAGTTCAGTGTTGAAGAGTTTTGGAAGTTTGTACGGTCCAAGAACTCTTCGGTTGGTAAAAAGTATTAGTTCTGTTTTTGATGGGTTGACAATAACTCGTCTTATTGCACCATCTCTCAATCACTTTGAAAGCTCTTCCTCATGAGGTCACATAAGGTGCTTTCAAAGTTCCCAGATATCAAGATAGCTATGTCATCAGCATATCCCACAGTGTAGAGATTGTCAGCGTTGAGTTCTGTGATTAGTTCATTAACCACAAGGTTCCACAGTAGCGGCGATAGAACACCTCCCTGCGGACATCCTCTGCTGACAATGCCTCGTGTTGTGGAGTTTACCGTGAACTGTATAGCTCGTTGTTTTAGCATGTTGTTTATCCATTCTATAAGGGTTGATGGTACTCCACATAACCTTAGTGCTCTGGTTATACTCGTGAAGTTTGTTTTGTCAAAAGCACCTTCGATGTCAATGAATGCACCAAGGGTTGACTGCTTTAACTTCAGGGAGTTCCAATCGAGACACGACGTTGTGGAGTGATGAGTCCGTTGATTTGCCCGAGCTATAGGCATGTTGATTAGGGTGTAGGAATTTGGATAGCGATACCCGGCTGCGTATCTCCAGGTCTCCTAGCCTCTCCATCGTTTTTAAGAAGAATGAAGTAAGGCTAATAGGCCTGAAGGACTTCGCTTGGGTATAGTCCTCTTTACCTGGTTTTGGGATGAATATGATTTTTACTTCTCTCCATTTCAAGGGTATGTATCGGTGGGCTATACAGCTCGAAGACAAACAAGATAGTCTACTATTAAGTTCCCACTCCATCTTAGTAGACCTGGGAAGATGCCGTCCAAACCAGCCGCTTTGAATGGAAGGAAGGAGTTGATTGCCCACGTTACTTTTTCATTAGAGATTATTTTGTGAGCTACTTGCCAGTCTGAGCTGTCGGTGGCTCTCTCTGAGTATGGTTGCCAGGCCTGTTCGTTGGCAATTATGCAACCCGGAAAGTGTGTTGCCATAGTAGTTCACATGTTTCTGAGTCAGTTTTTGTAAATGAATTGTCAGGTTTTTTAAGACAACCGATCGAGTGATTGGGCTCTCTGGAGAGGCATGATTTCACCCTGGTTGCCTGGTTTGTTTGTTTCCACATACTGGTGCAGAAGTGTCTCCAACACTCCTGCTTCCCTAGTACGTAAAAGTTTTTTGAATCGCCTTCTCGCGACCGTGTACTTGTCCCAGTCGGTGGGTAACCGTGTGTTCATTGCTCTATTGAACAGCTTCCTGACCTTCCGTCGGTGTCTCTCCAGTTCGGGGCACCACCAGTTATGTCTCCCTCCCCATCTTGGTATGGTAAGGGGACACGACCGTTCATAGCTTGTCAGGAGTAGGGACGTTAGGTTGTTTACATGTTTGTCTATGTCTTGTATATTTATGGTGGATTGGTATCGATAGTTTGTCTACCTCGGAGCTGATAAGTTTATAAAATTTTACCAAATCGGTTCTCCCGGTATACGTCTAGGTTGGGGTTTAGGTAGCTCCCCTTTGATTGCAAAGCGGATCCACCTATGATCCGAGCATGATAACTCGTTGGATACGTGCCAGTCCTGTATGTGATCTGACAGACCAGCAGTTACCATTGTTCCGCCGCGATGATTAGCTCCAGTTTCTCCCTCTCACAGTAGTCAGCCAGAAGGCCGAGTTCTGGAGTGGGCACGTCCTCGTCACCTGGTAAGTAGGCGGACGCCAGGACGACGTCTGGTTATTGTTCTGGGTAACCTAATAGCTGTAAGGTTCCTTGAAAGAGTTCGTTTATTAGAAATGCTGGTACATGTTTAGGCAAGATTATGCAAGTTCTAGGGTTACTTACGGAGGTATCCAGTAAAAGTTTACCACCGGTCACCAGCCACATATCTTGCCATTCCTGATCCACGGCTCCTGGATCGCGGCGATGGTCTTCGGATTGGTCTCCAGCAGTCTGCGTAGGAAGCCGACGCTGTCTGACTGTGCTGGAGGTTAGCCTGGATGAGGTCAGTTCGGCGATGGGGAGGACCAGACACTGTCCTATTCACTCCCCCGGTCTCCTGAATCATTCGAAGTTAGTGCACCGGTGACGGTGGTTGTGACACCTCCAAGGGACGTGTCCCCGGTGACCGAAGCTACCCCGTCAGGGACGTGCAGCCCGCCCCGATGACGCCACCCCCGATGTGCTGGCAGCAGTTGGTGGGCGTTGGCCACCTGCGAGGGCCCATCTCTTCAGATGCGGATATAGATGTTCCCCATCAGGTAGTATAAACGCCGATTATGCTCTTTGATTTTAGAGATCTCAAACTCCGGCACACGAAAGAAGAGGGACACGCCTGTAGGGTCCTGAGTTCTTCGTTCTGTGTCAGGGTCCAGGATCTGATGTTGAGGTGGCGGTTTTGCCTCGTGATCAGTTTCCTCACGTCTCCGTTTCCACTGTAGTCTGGTACATGTAGCAGACACGGAATCCTTTCGGAATCGCCGATTGAGGCCGAACCACCAACCTGGTGTCAGGTACTGGATTTGTGATGACATCACAAGTTCCGGTCACCAACCAGAGTGTAAGTGTCCTCGCACCAAGTTTTGAGGACACCATCCGAGAAATGGGCCTTACCCCGGAACCTGATGTCGTTGGGCTCGGTAGTTAGGGTAGCATCAAGATCCGCCAGGAGCTCGTCTTGAATTTTACCCTCGATTTGTAGGCGGATGTTATCCGCCTGTTCCTGTGTCATATCCACGAAAGGCTCAGTCATCACGGCAACACAAAACTCGTTATCTTTGTATGATGCTGCCGCTTCCGCGTAACTGGCCGAGGTCCCTGCCACCGTCTGGGGTTTGTTGGGTTTGACCCTTGACCAGCCAACAGATTTTAGTATATCAATCGTGATCCTAAGATTGTATTAGGAATTAGGAAATACAGACGAGTAGGTATCGATAATTTAAAAAAAAATCGGAATCTATCAACACGAAATTAGGTTAATTTCAATGTTGATTATTCTATAACCTTAAATTTCAAAAATGAGGAAATAATCGATAAATAAAAAAAAACCATTATTAACAATCGATAAATTAAAAACACGATTTTTTAAAGTGAACGTCACATCTCTTATAACCAATAGAAAAGTAGAAAATGGCGGATTGTTTACAAATTTCAATACATTACACAAAACTAAATTTTTTTGTTAAAATATTTAGACACGTTTCCGTAGCAAAACTCACTTGTAGGTGTTCCAATGAAGGTCCCCCGAGACTCCTAAATAATTAGTATCGTCAAAAAAGTGCGGTGGTATTCAACACTGTTACCGTTTTGTAATTTTTATCACCTGACATTTTCAAATTACACATAGGGAATTTTTTATCTGTAGATGGTCACCTTATTTTTTTTTCTTTGTGTCTAAAATTCCAAGGCGAAGGACATGAGAATAATGTCTCTAAACTCAAAATAATTGAGTCTGAAAGGAAGGTAGTGAATGGAAGATAGTGTTTAGTTATTTAAAGACCACTTGGTTTTGAACTAAAAGTTAACTATGAAGATTTGGACCTCGGAACACACATTTAAGTAGGTTCATTGTTGTGACGCAATCGTGTTAATGTTCGTTAAGCTGATTACATTGATAAAATTGGCATTTACTGATAATTCCTTACCATTCCAGCCATCCTTGGGAGACGGTTGCACAGGCAGCATGGCGTAAATATCCGAACCCTATGAATCCAGCTGTTGTAGGAATAGATGTGGTGGAAAGAAATGTTGTGAATGGTGTATTACATACCCACAGACTTGTCAGTTCTAAATGGTTTTTTCCTAGATGGGCACAGGCTGTAAGTTTTTGGTACATGTTTTAATATAAGCTGATTAATATAAATTTAAGTTATAGATATTAATAAGAAACAGGTCTTGTATTTTTTTACAGTTTTATTTCAATTAAACAATCTACAGTTTTTAAATAATACATTAAACCTTAAATATTATTAAACAGAAAGTTTTATTATTATATTATACTTTTATAGCTAATCGGAACTGCAAAAATATGCTATGCAAGTGAAAAGTCTGAGGTTAATCCAAATCAAAGACAAATGGTATTAAAGACCACTAACTTGACTTTCTGCCACTACATAGCTGTGGATGAAACTGTTCGATACACACCCCATCCCTCAGATGCTTCAAAAACACTCTTGACCCAAGAAGCTGTTGTCACTGTGCAAGTAAGTATAAATGTATATTATATTTACAATTTAGTTTTATAGTGAAGTGAAGTGTATGAATTTATCTTAAATATGCCTTCAAAAATGTATTAAGTATACAATATAAAATTTATGTCATCAAGAATTTGCTATATATAATATTTTTAGGGTGTGCCTCTTAGCAGTTACATGGAAGATTTGCTTGCCAATAGAATATCATTAAATGCAGGAAAAGGTCGTCAAGCTATTGAATGGGTTATTGGCAAATTTGACAATGAAATTAAAGAACTAGCTACATCTGCATGTAAAAGTACTGATGAACTTCTCTCTCAGACAAAAAAGTCGATTGATGATATTACTACTACTGCAAGAAGATCAATGGATGATATATCTTCAAAAGCCAAGAAATCCTTGGATGACATAGAGAAATTAACTAAGACAAATGCAAATCAACGTAGCTGAAAAGAGGAGTGACTTGATTTAATATGGGCTAAGTCAGTTTGCTGTAGCAAATATGGATCTTTTCCAAAACTACCAACAAGCCCATTTAGACAATTATATTAAACTAATCATTCAACACTAGTTTCATTACCATAACATTATTAGTTTCAATAATTTGATAATATTAGTGTTTGATATGACGTCTTTTAACAATAATGTTATGGGTTTTTCTGTATAGGAAAGTGTTTATGTAAATGCATTTTAAGTTTATAACTATTTATTATATTCTTATCTAATAGTACAATTACCTAATTTTGAAATACACAAAACATTTTTACCTGCATAATTATTTTACCGGGTATGATGATTATTTCACTAAAATTCATTTAAAATAAATTTTCGTTAATACCTGAGTAATTATCTCTTATTTATATTTCTTTTATTACCTTGAGTAATGTTTTACTACTTACTAAAAATAAGACATACATAAAATTTAATAAACCTGGCTCTTGATCAACAAATTTTCTTGTTACTTACAATGTAATGAAAGATAAATATCTATATAAAGGTAGTTTTTTTAATAACTCTGACATAAAATATACTAAGAAAACCCTAAAAGACAACTGACAAATAATTAAAGTCTTAAATTATGAATATAAGGATAAATGATATCTGAAGAACCAATTGTTATAAAAAGTAATGTCTCCTTAGTATCTATGAAATATTGATAAGCATGTTTAGTTCTTGTTTTTTTACTAAAAAGAAGAGGGTGGTTTTTGGCCACAAATTTAAATCTTGGTTTCAGCAAAATTATATTTCAATCAACAAGTCTATTTGGATTCCTATTATTTTTTTACTTACAATCAAATTTTGTTTAGTACTATCTGATTCAAAACCTAGAATTAAAAAAAAAATTAATTACAAAGAAATTAATTAAACAATATATGTAAATGGTCAAATATGAAATTTATTGAGTGCTGGTTCCTGATGAGGTCATAGTACCACCATTAGGTATACCAGTAACTGTTCTACTACTTGCAGCTAAATGTGAAGCCTTTAACCTCTCCAATTCATTAATCCATGATCGAACATGCTCTAATCTGTGCCATGCCATTTGTAAAACCTTTTGAGAAGCATAACCAGAACCCTCATGAGGTTGCCCTGTAGACACCTGAGTCAGGTAATTAATCTGGTCACTTAATTTTGACTCCACTTGGCTGAGTGTTCTTAAAAATTGTGATGTATTACTCTCTGCTTGTTTTTGACTTGATTTTTCCTTCCCTAGTTCAAGAAGTGCTTGAGCTAAAACAAAAGCAAGTTTAAACAAAAATAAAAGGATTTAATTTAAATTACACTTCAGAAACCTACCAGCACACTGCAGGCAAGTGATGATGTCTTTTTCAATTTCGTCCAATACTTGAATTCTATCCATAGGACCAGCCATTTCACTGCTTGAGTTTTATAATATATTGATGTTTTTATTAATGAGGATATGAAGTTAATACTGATTACTGGTGATAACTGCTAACACCACGGTAAACACGAAATAAAACACAGATCAGCATTCAGAAAGGTTAAAATTCTTGTAATCTTGTTAGAAAACATAGAGAAATAATATATACTGGGAAAATCAATGTTGATTTGACAATTGACTTAGGTTAGTTTGACACCTTTGTCAAGGTGCTAGGGATGTGACATTCTTGATTATTTTTTTAGCATGAAAAATCGATTAATAAATAATCTATTTTTTCTATTAATCGATTTTTGCCTAATTTTTGAATTAATTTCAAAATAAAATAAACACCATATATATTATATTTTTCATGTTTTTTTTAATTAAAAATAAACAATAGAATTTATGAACACAAATTAACGTTGAATAATCAAAATCGAAATTAACTCTCTCGTAACTTTTCTCAAAATCTCGTTTTGATAGATTGTAGGTGAAATTTGATAAATGCTGAGTGTATGCCTTTTCAGTAGCACATTGCAGTATTTTTGTTGTCTTTTTAATTGTATGTAGTCTTGTGCTGCTGAATAAATTGATGTTACTTTTAAATTATAGTGTTCCATTCAAACTTGAGTTTTTGTAAAATTAATTGGTTTTATCATCCTTTCGATGTTTTACAAAAAAACATCAATGCATCGAGTATATCAATACATCTTCAAAGAATCGGATTCAATGTATCGCATTGTAAACATCGTTGTATATCGAATATCCCTAATAGTTCGAGGTCCGGGTTATAAAAGACAGACTTAATGTCGGGAGGTGGCAGATAAAAATCGACTATGATTGATTTTCAATTATAAAAATAATCGAAATAATCGATTATTTTTTCACATCCCTACAAGTTGCCTTAACAATAGTGTATGTAGAAAGTCGAAAACTAAATTTGTATGAAAATTACAGTTCGTGTCACAGTCGATAGCCTACTAGCCTAGTCGAAAGGTGTGAGTGATACAATAAGCAACGCCATGACAGTGCTACGAAAGACATACATTAACGCCTTTTGTGCCCCCCCGCCCCCGCCGGGGGGGGGGGGGGGGGGGAAAAATTTTTTGTTTGGGGGGGGGTTTTTTTTTTTTTTTTTTTTTTTTTTTTTTTTTTTTTTTTTGGGTTGGGTGGGTTTTGTTTTTTTTTTTTTTTTTTTTGTTTTTGGGGGGGGGGGTTTTTCCCCCGCCGCCCCCCTCCCCCCCCCCCCCCCCCCCCCCCCCCCCCCCCCCCTTTTGGGGGGGGTGTTTTTTTTTTTTTGGGGGGTTTTTTTTTTTTTTTTTTTTTTTTTTTTTTTTTTTTTTTTTTTTTTTTTTTTTTTTTTTTTTTTTTTTTTTTTTTTTTTTTTTTTTTTTTGGGGGGGGGGGGGGGGGGGGGGTTTTGGGGGGGGGGGGGGGGGGGGGGGGGGGTTTTTTTTTTTTTTTTTTTTTTTTTTTTTTTTTTTTTTTTTTTTTTTTTTTTTTTTTTTTTTTTTTTTTTTTTTTTTTTTTTTTTTTTTGTTTGGGGGGGGGGGGGGGGGGGGGGGGGGGGGCGGGGGTAACGCTCACAAAAAGCTGTACAAGCAATACAGTCGCCGCCGCGTCGAAAAGTCTGTAACAAGTTACAACTTGTTTGCGGCGCGGCATTTGATCGGTTTGTTGTGATACGATATTTCAGAAGTGTAGAAAAAACAGCGTATTTTCGCCGTATTTTTGCGTGATCTCAAAAGCTGCTGTTTCCTATAATTCGGTACCGCTATAGCCATCTTTAATTCCTACCGGTTCAAATACATATTATATTTTGGACGTTTTAACGAAAAGTTGTTGAAGTGAAACTTCTTTAGGCGCATGAGGATAATTTTTTTATGGATGCAACGCAATAATAATAATATTAGCGTCACGAAGATGTGCAGAGTTTTTTGTCGAAGAAAAGGGAGAAAGCGATTGAGAAAGAGAGTGGGAAGGGCGAATTACCTTAATGAAATTCTATTTTTAAAATTAAAATTTCTTAAAGTGTCAATTAATGCAATTGCCAAAAATAAAACTATCAAATACATAACATACAATTTTTATTAATTCCTTACTTAAACAGGTTTTGCATTCATATATTAACTAGTAGCAAATCACTGATATAAACTAAAGTTAATTGATATAAATACTAACTAAATATCATAATGAAACTTAAAATTAAATCTAAAATGTTGGAGCACCAATATCAAATCAAGAGTTAGTTAACGGTAATAATTTTATACCAGGCTGGGTTTTTATTTTATAATCTTTATTAATCCCTTTTTTCATTTCATAGAGTACTTGCTGTTTGACTATTCTTATTTTTAAAAGTAGAAATAGGATTTAAACAATCAATCATTTATAAATGACTACTTAACTTAAACTGAAATTGGAATTATGGGTAAACATAAACAGAGAAACATCCGATTTATGGGCGTGACGTATACCACGTCACAGAAATCAACAATGCATTCAAATAAACAATGAAAATGTCCATTTGAATGCAGATTTCACATCACAAACACCAAACCCAAAGCTTTAATCAGACACTAATTTCAGTGTTCACGCTATTCTGTTTTTTAAAGTGAAACTTTTATCACATTGTCTCAAACTTTTTCGTCTGTGTGTTGCATGTTGCGTGACGGTCGGCCGCGGAGTAGTGATAAAGTGAAAGGCGCTCGTCATAGCAGCCAAGGCCAATACGGCGGCGCCTCTAGTTCGCAGCAGCTGACCGTGTAGTGATTAGACTATTATTTAATATGTGAATATAATCTAAATAATTGTTAAGTATTATGTATGTCGTACTCTCACACAGAGTTCAATAAAAATATTAGTTGGAGATATAGTCTACTTTTATTATTTCCCATTATCATACCAATTTTCCAATTAAGATTGATAAAGCGATTTTTATAACCGTAATGGAATATTATTCCAAAAAATTTTAGTTAAATGTCTTTAATGTGAAAAAAGTTTCACTTTTACCGTGGTTTCCTAAAACCACACAATCCTTTTTTTTATTAACATTTATTTATTTTCCATTTCCTATTTTTACAGTAACAACAATAGACAACTAAAATAAAAACATAATATAATTATAACAAGTAAAAACTTAAAACCTAAAATAATGCAATTCTTGTGATTTTAGCCAGTGTGCAACTATATATATCCTTCTCACAAGCAATAATATTTATTAGGGTGCGCAAACTATGCGCAAATGGTGCTTCTCTGAGTTAATTCGTACGCGTCTGAGGCACTGCCAGCGACCGCATACCACGCCGAGTGTGGTTATTTGGCACACGCAACCCCAGTCTCTCATATAAATTAACTGTGCGTTTTCCAATTACAGCACTAGAGCGCATTTTGCGGCATAATGCTCAACGTCGAGTGTTCCAACTACAGCAACGCTTCGCACAATTGAGCACTCTCAAAACGAATGCTCTCGCGAGCTTCTCGCAAACAATACCAACACAGTGACAGAAAATTGACCAGTATTTTTCTTTAAGTTGGCATTTATCGAAATTTTCGTTAGTAAATATTATTTATTGTTGAAAAATTTGTAAGGCTTTCGTTTCGTCGTAGATTTTGAAAATAATTAAAGTTATTTCAAACTGCTAAAAAAATAAATATTAGTATGGATGAAGGTATAAATAGTAACTTTTTTTATATTCCACACTTAAAATATGAATACAATTTTATTTTAAAATTCGGATCTGTAAACAAATTTACTTTACAGGATTATACTTTAGAAAAAATTGCAATGGTTTTGAAAAAGTATATATTTTATTTAGAAATCATTAAAAAATATTACTCAAAACGTAAACGATGTAAACTTCTTACATGAAACTAAATATTTTACTGTTAATTTAGCTTGTTAAAACCTTATATTCTTTAAAGGTTTTCTCTTATTTCAGGAAAAAAATGTTAATGAAATAATTTGATTGTTAAATTAAGCGTAACAAGTTTTCAACCAATTATTATTGTTTACCACATTATTTATACATTAATGAGGTTGATAACTCTATTCAGACCATTTTTTTGTCAACACTGACTTAGCGCACTCTGCTGATGCATTTGAAAACTAATTCACGTTCCAATTAAGCTTCAGCAATATGCGGCATTGTGCGGCACTGAGTCGCAAAATGCTCTGTAATTGGAAAACGCACACTGATTCGAAAGCGCACTTTCATTTCTCTTATGATAATTTCAATACATTTATTTTTACATACATATAGAAATATAGTTGGTATCGTATCGAAGATACGCACTAAAAATGTACATACTATATTGTGTAGTATTTTCTATAAGATTTTGATGTATGTGGCAACACAATGTGGCTTTAACTTTCTAACATAACTTTCCAATATGGACCATCGATTTGAATGCCCATATTTTTTTTGTAAATATGTAGTACTCACTAAAAGAAACCGTTTTGCAAAGTTTTAAGTTGCGGAAACTTAGGGTTCATGAGATACATTTATTTTTACTTTCCATACAAATGGGCAAATAACACGCCATACAATAATAAATTTGACAAATAACTAGGTAGGTTAGTGTAGGTTTCGAAAAATTTGAAAATATCGATACTTTAAAGTGTTTAAGTACTTACTTTATTTCCCAAATGTTGTATTCAAAAAGTACCCAAAACCGAATCAGATAAGAAAACAAACGTCACTCAGAATAGACTTTTAAGACGAGTAAATATATATGTTTTTTTCCTTGAGCGATTCTATAAGAATATAAATTAATTACTCTTGTTTGTAAAAAATTAGCCAATTATCTAACAAAGATAAAAATGGGTTGTGATTTATAACAAGATAGAACTTCCCATAAGCTATAAGGTCGCAAGTGCTAGTTGTTATCAGTTAGTTGGACAAACCTTAAAATACAACTTTTGTTACTTATAAGCTAGTGTATAAAACTATACAATATATTTTATATTAATTGTAACTTTTACGATTACACTATTTCAATAAATCAATTTTATGACTTGACACACTCTACATTCTTATATTCTAGGATAGTCTGTGTCCCTGAAATGTCAAAACTGACAATTAATTCAACTCATAATCATAAATCGTAAAGTTGTATTCGTCCATTTTGTTGCGAACATCTGAAGCGATGGTAAGCGAACTATGGAATTGTCCATATTAATTTTAAATCATTAAATATTTGTTTAATCATTTTCTTTTATAACGTTTTAAATGTTACTTATATTTATTAAACTCACTTTTGTTCATTTTACATTATATTTTAGTACAACAAATGATGATAATAAATCTCTTTAAATTTATACGGTTAGAACCTGAATCTTATGTGAAGATTTTACTAGGGCGGACTGATGTATTAACTAAATGTAATCAGAACTGATTGTATTATTTAAGAAGCTAATTCACATATTTTTGCCTTCTAGTCGCATAGAAAGTTTTCGGCACCACGTCATGGGTCCATGGGATTCTACCCTAAGAAGAGGTCCCGTCGTCATCGTGGAAAGGTGAAGGCGTTCCCTAAAGATGATCCCAGCAAACCTGTCCATCTTACAGCATTTATTGGTTACAAAGCTGGTATGACCCACGTGCTTCGTGAACCTGACCGTCCGGGTTCAAGTAAGTACCCCATTATCTTAAACTATATTGTTTGTTTGATTTATCTGCGTATTGTTTTATATTGAAGGAGTTGAGAGAATGTTTAATTTATTATAATTGAAATTGTTAGAGATCAACAAGAAAGAAATTGTGGAAGCGGTTACAATCATAGAGACGCCTCCTATGGTATGTGTTGGCGCTGTTGGTTACATTGAAACACCTCATGGTCTTCGTACATTAATGACCGTCTGGGCCGAGCACATGTCAGAAGACTGCCGTCGTCGCTTCTACAAGAACTGGTAATTCACATTATATCTTACTTTATTTCGACTAGCTATCACATTAACATTATTATTTATCACTATTTATTACTATAAAGTACTAATTATACTTTTAAAGCTCTCCTCTCATAGATGAGGGCATACTGAAATATGCTCTGTGCATATTGTTGCCAATTTGTCTCCGCTCAACGATGAGGCTTTTGGCTATTTCTTTACAGCACCTTTGGTTTATGATAATCCAGGTACAAGTGCAAGAAGAAGGCCTTTACCAAGTCAAGCAAGAAATGGCAGGATGAGTTGGGTCGCAAGTCTATTGAAAAAGATTTTAAGAAAATGGTCCGCTACTGCAGTGTTATCAGAGTTATTGCCCACACTCAAATGAAGCTCCTTAAGCAACGCCAGAAGAAGGCTCATATTATGGAGATTCAAGTAAATGGAGGCACCATTGAAGACAAAGTTAAATGGGCTCGTGAACACCTTGAAAAGCCCATCCCCATTGATTCTGTATTTACACAGGATGAGATGATTGACTGCATCGGTGTGACTAAGGGTAAAGGATACAAAGGTGAGTTATACTTTTTCAATTATTTCTGTGTTTATGTTGACTTAAATTTCAAAATTTAATTTATTGCTATCTTAAATCCCTCATCGTCTTAACATGTTCTTATTTACAGGTGTCACGTCTCGTTGGCACACAAAGAAACTGCCGCGTAAGACACACAAGGGTTTACGTAAAGTTGCTTGTATTGGAGCGTGGCATCCTTCAAGAGTATCATTCACTGTTGCCCGTGCTGGTCAAAAGGGATACCACCACCGTACTGAAATGAACAAGAAGATATACAGAATTGGGCAAGGTATGTTACAAAATTTTATGACAAATTTGAAATGTAAGTATGACATATATCATCATTTTCTAAGTGATACTTAAATAAATATTATTTTAGGAATCCACACCAAGGATGGCAAAGTTATCAAAAACAATGCCTCAACTGAGTACGACTTGTCTGAGAAGTCAATCACTCCTATGGGAGGTTTCCCTCATTATGGTGAAGTGAACAATGACTTTGTAATGATCAAGGGTTGCTGTATGGGACCTAAAAAGCGTGTTATCACATTGAGAAAAGTAAGTACCGAATAAGATAGTTTTGAAATTTCATTTAAAATTGCATCTGGCAAAAAAGATTTAATCAGATAGTTTAGCTCTCCACAAACAAGCAAGTAAATGAAGCTGAATATAGTATTTAATAATAAGATGTTTTAATAACTGTTTATTTATTCATATAAAATATTATATAAAACTTATTTTAAATAAAGAAATATTGTTAATTAATGTCCCACAATAAAAAATAAAAAAAATAATTTTCTAATTCTACAATTTAAAATGGTACCTAATTTTTTTTTCAGTCTTTAAGAGTACACACTAAGAGGGCAGCTCTTGAAAAGATCAATCTGAAATTCATTGATACATCTTCCAAGTTTGGTCACGGTCGCTTCCAGACGCCGGCTGATAAGGCTGCGTTTATGGGTATTCTCAAGAAAGATCGCATCCGTGAGGAAGCGGCTGCTACAGCCACCGCGGCCCCTGCCCAGTCATAGATATTCCTTGACAAATATATTGATAAATCTATTTTGTGTTTTATTATATACTTATAGAGTGCCTTTAAAAATAACATTTGCCTACCTGCCTTCATCTATCGTCATCATTTATCTGAAATACCTATTTATGGTAGTAAATTTCATTATTTTAGGGATGTGACATTCTGATAAAAATGATAAAATATAAATAACGATTTTTTTATTAATCGATTTTTCTCTAACTTTTGAATTAATTTCAAAATAAACACCCTAAATATTTTAATTTCATAGTTTTTTAAATTAAAAATAAACAAAATTATAAAAAAATTAAGTTTAAGAATAAAAATTAATTAATTCTTTTATAGATTTTGATAATGTGAGTGTATTCCTTTTCATAGAATTGAGTATTTTTGTTGTTTTTATTGTATGTAGTTTGTGTGCTGAAAATTTATTTTACTTTTAAATTATAGTGTTCCATTCAAACTTGAGTTTTTGTGAAATTAACTGACTTTTATATCCTTTTGAGTTTTACAAAAAACCCAATTTCTCAAAATACAATAACATCTTCAAAGAACGGATTCTATCGCATTGTAAAAATCATTGTGTGAATATCCCTAATAGTTCGAGGTCGTATAAAAGAAAATAATTGAGGATAAAAATATTATGATGATTTTCATTTAAAAATAATATTATTTTAATATAAAAATTAAAAAAATGTTTTTAATGATTATTTTTTCAATCCCTATTATCTCTTAAACTGAAAATGCCTTCAAGAAGCGACGGTTATTAAAGAACTCTTGGATTAACTAGGCTTAAAACCTTAATATAAGTAGCGGCACGAAACTAGCGCTGACCGTTATTGCGCAGAAGTAAAAAATAAGGTACCTGAGGGGGGCTAGCGGAATGAAGAGCGTCGATTGGCTCTCCAGTCGCATTCCGTCCCCCGTGCGACAGTACACATGCGCAGCAATCCCCTCCACGTATCGGCCAGCGCTAGACTTACGTGCCGCTGCTTATACCTCATCTTAGCAGAAACCTTAATTTTAAAATGTAGGTGGACACCACTTCCTCTACCAGGCGGCCAAGTTAGGTGATAGGGCCGTCTTAAAACTAGGCCCTTAGAAAGTAAAAAAAGCGAATTATAATATTTTTTTACTAAGTATGGCCATTCATATAGGCAATCTCATTAATGATATTAGAATGCTGTATGACATGATTTTCGTAAATGACTTTTCGACGATAATTAACTGCAAAAAATAGCCTGGTACAAATGGTTGAATTTTTTTTTAAATCAACGTTTTCGCGTCGGTATGCCGCGTGGCGGGGGGCTGTAAGTCATACCGGAGAAGTATGGCATGACACTGCCACCTCTTATTTTTTTATGGAAAATACTAGAATTACGACCGCTGGTACCAGCGCTATGACCATGAATTTTTTTTTTCATTTCGTAAAAAAGATGTTTGATGGTGATAGCTATGTCACCGTTAGATTGTAATCTATCTCGCGAGATTGTAAACTGGCGAAAGATGGTGAACCTCAACGAACTGCTTACAATTTAAATATTTGTATGTTAATTCGTTTGTTGTCGAATGTAAATTGATTGTTATGATGAATGTAAATTGATGTCGTGTTGAAAGTAACTCACACTTTAGAATTAGTTATATGAAATTATTGGGAAGTAAAATTAATCTGTGATAACCCAAGAAGTTTGAATGATAACTAAGTTAGTGTTGGAAATGAAATGAAAGAAAATTTCATTAATTTTTCAATTTTAATTTGTGTTTGAAGAGAAGAGAAAATATTTTTACGTTTCTGATTTTTTTATTTTGATATATTTTTTTTTATCATGTGATGTCAGAATTATTGATTACCTACTAAGTAATAAATACTAATTTTTGAAGTGAATTCATTTTATTTGACCGATACCCTTGTTTCATTCCTAACTCTATGGACATATAACGATTTACTATAAAGCCGACCAATCAGGGACAACCTTCGGACAGTTGACAATTTTAAGATTGTAATTTGACGGTTTCACTTCGATAGATTACAATCTACCGAATAATTATACGTTAAATTGTAAGCACTAAGCAGTACGCTGCGCTGAGGTTCACAATCTATCGACAGTTTATAATCTCGCGAGATAGATTACAATCTAACGGTATTTACAATTTTACGTTAACAGCTATATAGAAGCCAGAAGAGCCGAAGCCAGGAGTGGTGGTTTTGATCTACCTCTGGAGGTAGTCAAGATCTGGAAGGAGGAGTATCAACGCCTAATTTTGCTAGAGTGGAGGGATGAGTTAAGTGAATGTCGGTTTGGTTTACAAACCGTTGATCTTATTCGTCCCTTTTTGAAACACTGGGTGGACCGACGGTGGGGATCGCTTTCCTTATCGGCTCGTTCAGCTTTGGGACTTGGGAGTTACCTGCATCGAATCGTTGGAAGAGAGGCGACACCTGCTTGTCATCATTGTGACTGTATAGATGATACGGTGAGGAACACAGTTGAGGAGAGTCCGGCTTGAGACGGCTTTCGCTCGGTCCTTGCTGATAGCATTGTTTGCAATCTGTCGCTTCCACTAATTATCCAAAGAATGGTGGAAGCTGACGGTCCTTGGAATGCCTTCAAGGCTTTTTGTGAGGCCGTCATGATTCAGAAAGAGAATGCGGAGCCTCAGCGTGAAAATAATTCTGATGCTCCGCCGGTAAGGAAACGACGACCGGGGCAGCGACGCCGTGCTTTCCCACGTCTCCCCTAAGTTAAGATTCTGAAGATTTGTTCGTGGGAAGAGTCATGGTGGTATTCGCGTTTGGCGGGGGTAAGGATAGGGCTCAGCTGTTACCTTTTGGCGAGCTGAAGGCATCCGTCAGGTTTTAGTGGGTAGGGTTGTAAATATTAAGTCTGAGTCCCACATAATCCCTGTTGGAGTAAAATACAGCAGGGATATGCGTAAAGGCATTTGCTGACATTACAAAAAAAAAGGTGTTCCTAATTATGTTTGAGACAATTGTGATTCCGATTGATATTGTATTAATTTAATGCGTATTTTTATTCAAAATCCATAGTTTAGTTTTATTTATTAAGTTATTTTTAAACTTAACGCCCGAATAATCATGTGAAAATAAATGTATTCATTAAAATTTGTTTTATTTGCATGCGTTTCAATTGACACCAGAAATTGGTTCAACCGACACTGACATGGGGACGGCGAAACATGTTTTTTTTTAAATCTGGCATTACACTTAAAATACAATATAATGATTTCAAATAACATTGCCCATTGCAAGACAGATATATGATCTTTAAATTTAATACATTTCTGTCATCGCTTGTACAAATTGTTCCGATGCAACAGACGTTAGCACAATTGATTCAACCAGTCTACCCTAGTACAAAAAGAATGTTTTTTTTTTATTATGGCTTTGGCACGATTTGTGCATTAGCCAGCGTCAAGTATAGAATTTTTATAATTAGTTCTTTTTGCCTTAGAAATTCGACCGTGTCCTCCATGTACGGTTGAGGCACTCGCCCGGTACCGCACAACCCTCCCAAAGGCCGAGAACAAATTTAGATTAAATTAAAACTTGCCCTCGAACCCGGTACCCCTCACCTAGCTGCCACTTAATAAGACCGCTAGGCTATGAGGCCCCCAGAATATGTGTTTGTTATAAACAAAAAGCTAGAATTCAGTTTGAAAGTTAAAAAAACAACAAACAACACGTCCGTGTTCGTCGTTTGGAACATCCCGTGACAAAAGGCCGTGAGACTGATATCTTTGTCTATGTCAAATGAAGCATTGAAATGCCAGACGCACTCATGCACACCGGATAATTTTGAATACAAATATATTAAAAAGTGATTTGCGAACAAGTGGTTGTCTTTTTATTTCTATTTATTTGCTGACATTTATATATTACTAATTATCTTTATCAAAATAATTATTCCTAATTATATATCTTATACACTGAAGAACAATATTTCTTTCTTGTCGTATTTCACTGCTCAAAAGCTTTTCAAGTAAAGTAGAAGGCAGTTTTCGTTTAAAAGTATTTTGAGGCATTTTGATTTTATCTTGTTTTTTACATTTGTGTAGTGGTTTTGTTTGTGTCATAGTATTTAACAAAGTAGGCGCTGTAACTTCTTTAATAACCTTTACTTCTTCTGGACCACTATCCTCATCTTCCAGGTTAATTTTTGCATCCAGCTGCTGAGTTTGATCCTTAGAGTGAGGTGCAATTATACATTTCTCAACTACTTGTGTTTTCATCTTATCATCAATCACACATTCATTGCTATTAATTATTTGATTTTCTTTTGTGTTGTCCAATAATCTGCAATCTTTTTGGGAATGTATAGCCTTAGAGTTATTTAGATCTTCATCATCTGATGAACCATAATCATTTAATAAAGATATAAGAGCCCCACACACCACTGGTTTAGTTTCTAAAGTAATCTTTGGATTGTCTACAAACTCATCATCATCATCTATAAGATCTTTTGGTGTTTCTGGTGATGAAGGCTCACTCTCTGTTGTGTCTTCAATTAACTGTTGTATACCAGCAAATGGCTTAAGGCGTCTTACATCTTGATCTATTTCATATTTTACTATCTTTTTGGGTACTATTGGTCTTTTAGTATATGAAGGGTTTGTTCTTTTTAAAATTTTATTTTCTTTCCTGGGATATTTATCGCCAAATCTATGTCTCTTTTTGTGTTCATCTGAAAAGAAATAAACATATGCCAACATTATATAATGTTCCTTCAGATTACTGGAAAATCATGAGCATAGTTCAAATTTAGATCAACATCACTAAACATTTATAGAAAGTGTATAAGGATCATGGCTTTTAAATTGCAAATATCTACATTTAAAAATCAGAAACCACCCAAAAAAAATTATGGGCTTTCAGAATAGAGCAAATGAAAATAAAAAGTTAGTAAAACTTTTACTAATAATAATAGACTTATTTGGGCATTTTTACAAGCAAAGTTTCATTACGATTGGATGGTAATGTTTGATTATATACTATATTATAGTAAAAATGTAACATGGTCTAAAAATTAAATATTTCAATATGTCTAGTAATTATTTTAAGCCAAATGGCTATGATGTTAACAGCTTATATTATGGTTTGTAACTAAATTGAAAAGACACAATAATACACTAGTTGTTGGCTGGTTTGTCAAAAATTTCAAAATTAAATATTAGTATTAAATTTATTTGAGGATTAATTATTAATACATATTCATAAGTGGTCCTCTATCAACCCAGTATATGAAGCCTATGACAATTCTGCCTGAAGTGGTATATATATAATCAATATAAAGGATTTTGTTGTATTTTTATATACCTAACTATGTACAATTAGCTAATAGAAGACCTAAAACATACCCTGAGTGTTTACCGCCTTTATACCCATTTTTTCTCCTCTTTCAATTTTTTCCTGTAGTTCTAAATTTTTTTTATCAATGTTACATTTTGTTGGATATTTCTTTCTTCTTTCTTCTCGCCATTTTTCGATTTCCTCTGGATTGTTTAATTTTGCAATCTTTTTATACAGGCCAGTTGAATGTTGCATTTGTATATGTTTAGTAATAACTTTAGGATGAGCAATAAATTGGCAGCCATCAATATTACATTTCTGAAAAAAGCATAAGAATTTTTTTATTATTTTATCAAAACTATATTGCACCTGTGCAACTTAATAATTTGCTTTTGGAATACCCACACACGGATGAACATAAGGGGCTGTACAGACGCTGGTAAATATGGAAATTTATATTTTTGTAAATAAAGTTGAATCAAAGTTTTTTTCTGACCTGATGTTGTTTTTTATGGTTATCAAGTAGAACTTGTCCTGCGAATCCTCTGTCACAAGTTTCACACCAGTATTCATTACTATGAGCCTGAATTCCTAGATTAATACCATAAGGTTGTGAAAATGGATGATTGTTAAATCTCCTAGGTGTATAGTGGTCTCGGGTACTGCTTCTATTCCACTGTGGATCTAATCTTGGATAAGGATTATTTTGTTGGTTATTCGAAACATGGTTATAATTTGGTCTGTACATTATGAGGACTGTCGGTTCACGGATATTAACGTATTTTTGCGTTTTCACCGCTGGGCTCTGACCATACCAGATACTTAGATTAAATTAAACTAATTAATATACTTTTCGCTGTGTTAATAAATAATAAATTTTCACACAGTCCAATATTAAAAATTGTTACTCTATGTATATATATTGTCTACTGCAAGAGTCTTGAACAACCAATAGCCATGGAGTAGGGTAAAGAGTATACATTTCTTATAAAATTAAACAAAGAGTATGTTACAGTGATGCCAACTACAACAGAGGGGAACATTCAAAAAACAAAACAGGACCAACGTCAAATTCCCCTCGACGAAGAACTCATGAAGTTTTTGTTGTACACTCGGTTTGAGAATTAATTTTAAATATACTGTTCAAAAATAGTTATTTATTATTTCAGTTATAGCCACTTTTGGAGCTATATTTTATCTTGGAGAATATTTAAAAGTTATGCTAAAAATACAAGAAATAAAATTCAGTATTCAAACTAAACCTAAATAAAATTTAAACCTTACTAAGAGCATAATAAACCAGATTAAAGTAATTATAAAGATTGTTATGATATATCTATATTTTCGAAGTGTAGAATGTAGTTTTGGTCAAAGAATATTTATTTATTAGTAATCTTACAGCTAACATACATATTATAAAACAAAACACTAGACAATATAGAAAGCCAAAACAGATTATAGTCCGGTCAATTTAGACATCCAAGGTTACAAAAATTCCTACTTGGCTGAATATTGGTAGGATTGCTCAATACATTATTATAAAGGAAATGTGAAAAGTCCTCATCGATCCGGCCCGTGTAAAAATATTTACTCCGGGTCAAAGATCACAAAAACGGGTTTTTCGCGATTTTCAGCAAAATGGTAAGTTTTATCATAAAATAAGTTTAGACAAAAATTGTAGATCAGATATTTATCTATAAAAAATGTCTAAATACTTTTTTCCTAAGAGCCACCGTTTTTGAGATATCACGATTCAAAAAGTTGAAAGAGTTGTAATCATCATAATATTATGTATAAGTACACCACGTATATGTATACATCACTGAAGCCGTAATACAAGCAAAAATATCGTTCTATCGGTCAGTGTGACTTACACATATAAAATATGAAAATTTCGGGTTAAAAAAAAACCCAGTCCTTTATTTTCTACGCCAGTGTAACCTTCAGCAACATCGCTCTGGAGTGAAAACACGTGTTTATTGTAACCAATATTTTCTAACCTATTTCGTGCTGTTTTGAATTTTATAACAAAAATGTCAGAATATTGTTTTATTTGTGCTTAACTTTTAACTGAAGGTGAAATTGTTACTGTTGAACGTGGTATGAAGACATTAATCAATGCAAGTACTGAAAGAGCTGATGAATTTTCAGAATATCTTAAAAATCAGAAATCTGTGACCATACATGTGGAGTGTCGTAAAAATTATACTCGAAAGTGTTCCATTGCTGCAGCTATTAAAAGACAACATAAAGAACAAGAAGCCAGTACATCTACTAAAAGTCCTCCTCGTACCAGAGCACGTGTAAGTATTTAGACATTTTTTATAGATAAATATCTGATCTACAATTTTTGACTAAACTAATTTTATGATAAAACTTACCATTTTGCTGAAAATCGCGAAAAACCAGTTTTTGTGATCTTTGACCCGGAAGTAAATTTTTTTGCACGTGCCGGATCGATGAGGACATTTCACATTTCCTTTATAATAGTGTATTGAGCAATCCTACCAATATTCAGCCAAGTGGGAATTTTTGTAACCTTACCCCTATTTTTTAGTCTAATTTGACCGGATTATTACATTGATAAACGATATATACAGGGTGGCCAAAAAGTCGTGGATCAAACGCAAATAGCGGATAGATGAGGTCATCAGCGGCAAAAATTTTTCTACGGGAGGTCTCTAAGGTCAACCCCTGCAGAGTTATGATTTATTTTGGTTTTTATATGAAAATTGACTTTTTTTTACTAATTCTTCTTAAATTCGAAAATATCTACATCCTGTATCTTTATCATAATATCCACTAGATTGGTGCTGATGAGTTCTTGCGTTAGACATACTATTTATAGTTGTTTATTGAGTGTATTCAAGATAATATTAAGTGATACGATATAACATTTTTTCAAATCTTAAAGACCTCCCGTAGAACAATTTTTTGCCGCTGATGACCTCATCTATCCCCTATTTTCGTTTGATCCACGACTTTTTGGCCACCCTGTATATGAAACAGAAAACATAAGTACAATATATAATTTTTTTTTTAAAGAAAATTGATTTTTAACATCAAGCAAACGCTAAACAATTCAAAGAAAAAACTAGTAGTCCGGTCAATTTAGACATTCGAAGGTACAAAAAGTCCCAACAAGCTAGAAATCAGTAAAATTGTTCAAAATAATTATAAATAATATTTAAAAGTTCCCCATAATTCCCGTGTATGGATTTTTTTTTATTCAATGTCAAAGGTCAAAAAATGAGTTTTTCGCGATTTTCAGCAAAACGGTAAGTTTTATCATAAAAGTACCTAAGACAAAATGTAGATCATAAAATTATCAATAAAAAAATGTATCAATACTTTTCTTACGAGCTACCGTTTCTGAGATATTTTAAAAACTTTTCGATTCGATTCAAAAAGTTATAAAAGTTGTTATCGTCATAATTCGTCAAAAATAATTTGATGTTATAAAATCAGTATATAAATGTAATCTGTTCTTTTCTATCATCTATGTTCAAGTCGGCAACGGGCAACCAATAAGCAATAACCATTCGACAGTGCCAATGGACTTTGTATCGGCTAATAAATAAATTAAAAAAAAAAAAAAAAACCATTCGACAATCGACATTTAAATGTTTATTGTGCCAAAATTTATACATAACAAACAATAAAAAAAATCTAAAGTCTAAACTTTGTTACAAGTTACTGCTTTTTACTCGAAGACACTCACCCTATTATTGTTGATTAAATACATTAATTTGTTAGACATTTAACAGAATTAAGAATTCAGCAAACGGCTAACATTAATATATACTTCTTCTTTTGAAGTATGAATAGCTCAGCTGCCAAAGTAAGTAACTACTTAAGTAATAAGTGGTAAGGTTGGAGGTGTCGCAAGCTATTTATAATTTAATGCTAATGAGGCTTAGTCTAGAGTGGACTTGACTGTGACTGCTATTCAGTTTCTCTGATTAGACTCCTACTTTTACAAACTCATACAAACATGACTCCACATAGATTTTCTTGCACCTTATTTGATAATTTTCACAAGGTATAATAATAATTTTGTATAGATGATTATAATATCAAGATTTATAAATGCCTATTTTCAGGTTGGTGAAATTTTCACAGAAGCAGGTGCTGCTTTTAACAAACTGGCTGAAATGACTATGACATTACATCCTTTAGCTGAACAATCTACGAAGTAGGTAATTATTTATGTATGTACTGTAGTTAGAATATAAAGATTTCTTTCAGCAATATTACTGATATTTTCAGTGCACATGCAAAAACTCCTACTAAAAGGAAAACAACAGATGAACGCATTTCAACACATTCTGGACCTACAAATCAGGTAACTCTAAGCAGAGCATTATAATTCAGTATTAGTGTGTAAACAATACATAGGGATTGTGGTTTCTCATATTATCTCTGCCATATTAAAAATGACTTTAAATCTAAACAACTTAAAACTATTTTTTGGTTGTATTTGGAGGTTATAAATTAGACATGCAACAAGTATTCAATCTTCCACTGCTCTTAATATAGAAGAAACTAAAAAACCTTTAATGCTGTGTAACTTTCATGCTTAATATTAAGTAAATATGCCTAAAGTAATATAATATTTAAACTCCTATCTCTAATATCTATTGGCAAATGGGTATTTATTTACAGCTTGTCTTTCAACATAGGCCTGTAAATTTTTCTGAATTAAGACTGAATACGATTTCTATACTAGTCAGTTAAATACTAATTACTTACTAAAGTTGCAGCAAAATAACTAAAAGTAAAAATGCAGGAATTATATGATTGAAATGTTAAAAAAACTATTCGATTATTACTACATCACCACTTCTCAATTTTGATTCTCCGAGGAAAAATTGTTTGTACAGTGTAATTTTTTTAACACCAGGACACAGGTTGGAAATGTTATGTTAAAATAATATTAATAACATTTAATAATGTTAAACTACAGTTATGTTATGTTTGCAAAAATACTTGCTATTCTTTAATATGTTAACTAGTTTGTTAAAGTTAGTGGTATTGATGGTTCCATCAAAAAGTCACAACCTTGTGGTTATGATTAATATTATTAAAAAGGGTCAACTAATTTGAAGATTTAAAAATCTAAGCACTACATCTAATATATATGTATTAAACAACACTACATGTAATTAGGTATTACTGATCTAATTTTATATACATGTGAATTGCAAAAAAACATGCTCTACCACCAATAATTAATTACATTTATAATATTTTTGAGATCTTAATACTAAGTTGTAAAGAGCTTTAAAGTAACAGGAGTATGGAAAATATAAAGTATAAGAAGTAACTTTATATTCTTTATTTTACAAGAACCCTGGACATACAAAACAGTCTGTGGGCATGCATCATGTAAGTAACGTAGTAGATAATGTTACTATTTCCAGTAGACCTTATCTTATTTATCATTTTATAATGTTTAATATTTTGATAATTGTAAAAAGTTTTATTTGCACTTGCATTTTTACTCTTGTATTAAAAATATATTAATCTGTAAGTATTGGTATTTTTATACCATTTATATAACCTTTTGAAACAGGTTACACTGAATATGCTCAATGCGCAAGAAAATGAAATGGATGTGGATGACATGGGTCGTGATGTGAAATTGGAGTTTGAATCAAGCACGGAAGAAGTTGTCACATAAACATAATTCATTATAATTGTTGTATTTGACATACATTGTATAATTCTAGACATTATGTGGCTCAAAGTGACAGATTTGATCTGTACTTACTAATGAGTCTCGCCACATGAAGTTGTTTGTATAATAATCTAAAGTTCCATGTATTTTGTAAACAAACTAAAATATGTTTAACTTGTGAAAATAATATGACTTAATAGTAGATGGATGATTTATTTAAATTAAATTTCATAAGTCATAAACAATCTCTTACAAGATAACTTTGAATTCTTCTTTTCCAAGAAGATGAATGAGATTCATAAACTTTTCTATGTGTTTTGTCCGATAATATTTTTTCTATGACATCTTCAATATTTAATGTAAATTTTAAAGAATTAAATAATTCAAAATCACCTGCTCCAGCTCTTTTCATTCTCCTTTGTGCATTTTTGTAACATTTCCATGGTTGTGGCTCAATTATTATACAATTTGAAGAAGACTTAAGGAAACTTAAAAATTCAATAAACTTATCATCTCCATTGTTTATATGAATCCACATAGTTACTGAGAAACAAAAAGTTATATCAAAAAATTTTTTGTTGAATTTTTGTAGATATTCTGTAATTATATTTTTCCCACTATCTAGAATAATATTGCAAGAGACAAACAGAATATTCTTAATTTCTCTATTAGCCCTTTCAATCAATATGGGATCTATGTCAATAGCTAGAATGTGTACTTCAGTATTGGGATATAAAGACTCCAAATATCGGTATAGTTGGATTGTAAGTTCTCCAGTATTACATCCAATATCCATAATTAAAATTTGTGATGTGTTTTTAAGTATTGGAAACATATCATGATGAAGATTTTGTAGTCTCTCGTTTACACTATGGAAGGAGTAGTAATTTATAAAATTTCCAAATTTAGCGGCTCCAGGATCTTTACCATAAAAAAGTAATGACGGGTCGTCGAGTGTATTATCCATTACCAAGGCGAATCAAGTTAAATCGTCTTACTTCCGGAACGGTACACTAAAAGTCCTGAAATCTAAGTAGTTAAGTACATATTAATTGACCAAATATTAACTAGAAATGCTTTCAACACTAAATGTGATGTATTAGAAACTTTTACTTGTAGAATGTAAAAAAATGTGTGTTGTCTGAGTTGACGGAATACTATTTACAATTTACATTTTACGTATCTAAGGTCACACGCTGACGGACTAGCGACTACGAGTACTAACTACTAGTGTTGCGCACCTCATACATGGGGGCCCCCCCAACCCCCCCCCCCAATTTTTTTTTTTCCCCCCCCCCCCAAACCCCCCTTTCCCCCCCCCCCCCCCCCTTGGGGGTGGTGGTTTTTTTTTTTTACATTTTTCTTTTTTTTTTTTTTTTTCTCTTCTTCCCTTTTTAAAAAAAAAAAAAATAAAAAAAAAAACGGGCCCCCCCCCCCCTTTTCCCCCCCCCCTTTTTTTTTTTTTTTTTCCCCCACACGGGGGGGGAAAATATTTTTTTTATCTCTTTCTGGGCCGGGGGGGGGGGGAAAAATTAATCTGCTTTTTTTTTTTTTTTCTTTTTTTGCCCCAATTTTTTCCCCCCACTATCCCCATTTAAATTTATTTTTTTAAAAAAAGAAAAGCCCGAAAAATTTATTTTTTTTTTTTTAAAATCTAAAAAATTCTGGCTGCCCCCCCCCCCCCCCCCCCCCCCCCCCCCCCCCCCCCCCCCCCCCCCCCCCCCCCCCCCCCCCCCACCCATAAAGAGGGGGGGGGGCCGGGGGGGGGGGGGGGGGGGGGGGGGGGGCCTTCCCCCCGCGTTTTGGTTTTTTTGGGGGGGGGGGGCGCGCCCCCCCCCCCCCCCCCCCCCCCCCCCCCCCCCCTCCCCTTTTGTCCGGAGAAAGGGCCTTACTAGGGATGTGAAAAAATAATCGATTATTAATAAAATCGATTTTTTAAAAGTAAAAATCGATTTTTGTACGCGATTTTTATATTTAAAATAATCGATTATTTTTATAGTTGAAAATGAATCATAGTCGATTTTTTATCTGCCACTTCCCGACATTATGTCTGGTCTTTTATAACACGGGTCACGGACCTCGAACTATAAGGGATATTCGATATACATCGATGTTTACAATGCGATACATTGAATCCGATGCTTTGAAGATGTATTGATATACTAGATGCATTGATGTTTTTTTGTAAAACATCGAAAGGATGATAAAACCAGTTAATTTTACAAAAACTCAAGTTTGAATGGAACACTATAATTATAAAGTAAAATAAATTTATCCAGCAGCACAAGATTACATACAATTAAAAAGACAACAAAAATACTGCAATGTGCTACTGAAAAGGCATACACTCAGCATTTATCAAATTTCACCTTAAATCTATCAAAACGAGATTAAGTTAATTTCGATTTTGATTATTCTTAAACGTTAATTTGTGTTTATAGTTTCTATTGTTTATTTTTAATTAAAAAAACCATGAAACATTAAATATTTAGGGTGTTTATTTTGAAATTAATTCAAAAATTTGGAAAAAATCGATTAATACAAACATCGATTATTTTTTTAAGAAAAATCCATTATTTATTAATCGATTTTTCATGCTAAAAAAATAATCGATTAATAAAAAATAGATTTTTTTATGCAGAATGTCACATCTCTAGGCCTAACGGTAAGCAGTGGCCGATAAGCTGAGCTTTACCTTGTTAAGTGTTAACTATTAACATTATATGCATAATGCATATGCATTATGCATATAATGAGACAGCTGACAGAGCGGTGGGCCAGTGATGTCAACTTGAATTTTTCTCTACAAATTTAGGGGGAATCTACATGTCCAATAGGTTTTTCTAGAAGGTTGATTTATTGACGGGATGTTGAGAGTGTACTTTTGTGAAGAACTTTTTTTAAAACGCTCGGTTCTAAACAATTTATATTAATCCTCGAACCCAAGCAACAAACTAAACCAAACGTTAACTCTAGGCGTGGCTATAAATAATACTTCAACAGAAAAAAACAAAAATCTCTTTAAATTATGTATGAAAAGAAAAAACATAGAAAAGTTAAGAAAAACTAAATTTAAAGAAAGTAAGGTTAATAAATAAAATCATTAATTCATATTATTAGCTCATTAATTAATATATGTAAATGTGCAATTAATGCACCTGCATAACTACAAAAGCTATTTTATACTACTTGAATGTATTTTTATTTCTTATTTAAATTAGGCTCTACCTCTCAATCAAAGTGAACAATTCAAATTTATTTTAGGGGATTTTAGTCTATATATTTAGGGGTATTTGAAGTAGGTTCTAATGAAAATAGTAGGACTAGTAGTAGTAGGGGTTGGTACGAGTTTAGCATTAGATCTTCTTGTTGTTTAACCTCTATGATTACATATATGCTTAACAACCTCAATGAGACATAGTTCTACACAGTATATTATTAAGTATTCACTCATCAGACTTCAGAGTGTAGTGTGTGTAAAAAATAGAAGTCTTTTAAATTATGTAATTTAGCGCCACCTAGGTGTACAATAGAATAACATGCGAGTTTACTTCTTTTAAGGGGCCTATCAAAACGCGGCGGGTAAATGTGAAATGAGCAATAGTTTACAAGTACGCTTTTTATCCGACAGATGTCATAAAACCGCTACAAGGCAGACCTAGCACGTCATTTTTATGTGTATTTACTATCTAGTAGTCCAACTAGTTACACAACAAAAACTAGTTACAACACAAATATGGAATCCTCTAGAAAATTAAATGTTCCGAAGAAAATCTATTTAAAGGCTCCAGCCTATATTCCTTAAAGGATCTAATGATATTTGAAATTATTTTTGTCAAATCGGAATTTTACGTATAATTTTTTGTGAACAGTAATCCTACTTGTAATAAAAAATTATTCAAATTTACAACTGTAGTTTAAATTGTTAACAACTTGGTTCAAAAAATGTGCTTGTGCTGCAGGCACTAAGCAGGCAGTAAAAAAGCAAATAATTAGTCTTCGGTTCCTGGCGATGCCAATGTAATAGAAAAAGTGTAAATATTTGGAAGTCACAGAAACCCACGTATTTGACGTTTATATTATCTGACGTTTCGCGCAGGACTACTAGTTACCTTTTAAGTGCAAATCATTATGGGATCATAAAAAAACGAATCCTATTTATTCCGTGAAAAATAAGTAATATGTTACAATTATTTAAATACACAAGATTATGCGTGTAAAGACTTTCTTGTTGCAGAGTTAACTGTCAAAATAATTACAAAGATAACAGTAAAATTCATTATTTTTTTTAGATATAATTTTAATAATTATTGCGCTTGTTAACTTTAATTTCACCGACACGGTTGAGTAAAAGTACTTTCCTTTAATCGTAAACACATAATATGCGTTATTTCCTTATTTCAATATACTTATGTAGTAAATAGGTACATCCTGAGCAAAGAAGTGACTATTAATGATATAAGCACGCAAGCTAATCATGCTTGCGTATAGTTGAGTTCCGCACCATGCTTTTACCGATACCAAATAGCCAAGTATGCATTTTTACTTGGCAATCAAGAAGTACAAATAAATCTTGTGTTTCATTATAACCTAAATGACATAACACTGTTATTATGTGTTAATTCTTAAGAGTATAAATCTCTATCTTTATGATAATTCATAAATCGAAACTTAAATGCTCACGGTTTTTACGTTTTTATATCCATAATTCAAACGTAAATATAGCTAAATATGTATTAGTTTTCCTCGTACTTCCAAAGGATAGTCGTAAACATGTCCGGAGGTTCTGAGTTTGGTTCTAGGCCAAATACCTACTCGTCGGTCAGTAGGCAGATAAGGCTGACCAATTCAACCAACTTACTAGTAAATGACCAATGAACCAGACGCAGAAATGTGTCTGCGTTATTTAATTTGCGAGTTACAAGAATTTAAGGAAACAATAAAGTATCGCTTTAACGTCGTACTTCGCGGCGACTAAGTACACTAAATAGTAAGGACGTACGAGTCCCAGCATTAAAAAAAAAACAGAAATTAACAACGACGAAATTTATGAAAAAAAACGACTACTCGAAGCAACTACAACTCGTAATTTGGATATAGAAATAGGACCTAAGTAGCATTGACGACTCATTGGTCTAGTGGTTAGTACCCCTGACTGCGAATCCATGGGTCCCGATCCCCGGCTGAGACGAACATCGATGTGATGAGCATTTGGTGTTGTGCTTAGGTCTTGGGTGTTCAAATATGTATTTATATGTCTATCTATCTATAATATGTATGTATATCCGTTGCCTAGTACCCATAATACAAGCTTCACCAGCTTAGCATGGGACTAGGTCAATTGGTGTGAATTGTCTTTAAAAAAAAAAAAACTTTCGAATGACATTATTGAAGCAATATTACTACACCATTGTTTTATTGTACCTATCTGGCAAAAATGTGTCCCCTCCATGGTCATTGGTATATGATGGGATATAAAACCAAGCACAGCTTTTTTAAATTTTAAAGCTGTTAAAGTTACGTTTAGTTTCACAATGAGTTCTTAGCGTTTATTAGAATTATCCAAAGCTTATAAGTGTGAACTTACTTATGTGTACTAGTTAGTGACTTTACAATCTTTACTGTTTTAATTATATCATTATTTTATAGGAATAACTGTAGTTTTTTCTAATGGTTATCTTTTTGTAGTATATTAATCCTGGAACCCAATTCACTCGAAAGGATACGTTAATTTTGCTGTTTTGTATGTATATATTATAATTCATAATATATCTCGCACTTGTTCGAGCCATCAAGTTTTTCAATTGATTTCAATTAATATCTTAGGTGATGTTATAGTTAAAAAAAACTATTTTAACAAAATTTTTTGATTAAGAACCACGGTCGCGAGCGCGGGGCGCATGTGAAACTACAGAGAACATTATTATAAATATTTTTTATACATTTTAATAAGTGTTGGTTCATTATTTTACCGCAAATTGAAACTTGTTCAAACTCTTGCGCAGCCAATGCATATGTGTTGCTTTTTGCAGTACATTTTATCGGAGAAATTTTCTTGGAAAATTGTTCTCAATCGTTTTCAAGTTCAGTTACGTAAGCATGCGTGCAAGAGAACTGGTGCGGAATAGCGGATGTTCGGTGATGCTCGTCGACGTGCTGCCCGCCGTTATAAAGTCGCTGCCGGTGTCTTGCCCGTCAGTCGTTATTAGGCCACCCTCATTCACCCATTTTTTAAGTTTAGTGTAGTGTGTGACTAGAAAAATGTGTTCGTTTCTTCGGATACCCTTAACGTTAGGCATCTGTGTTATGGTCGTCTCCGGACACGTTCATGGATCTAGGAGATCTCGGATGGATGATGATTTCGCACAGAATGAAATCGACAGTGGCAGAGCAGATGAAACCTCCTGGTGGCCCTCGGCTGAGTTCGCAGTATTACAAAAAGTATATGACGATTGCAGTGCGCAACAACACATAACTGCATGTTTAAAGGGCAAGGCGCTTAATGCTCTGACGAGAGCCGTGGAACAGGTGACAACAGTGAATAAGTGATTTGTGAGAGAACTTTTGGTCATTTTACTCATTTTATTATTGTGTCGAACAGGAAAGCGTTCAGCTTGCTGACGGCTTGACGTTGGTGAAACAGGCTGATGCTCCGAGCGCTGTGGCGGAGCCTCGCTTCTTTCCTGGGATGACCTCTGAAGAAAAACTCGATACCAAGCTACGAGCAAAGTTTGAGCAACTCTTAAATACTCACACTGTATCTATGGATTTGATGTCTGAAGGCAGAGGTAGAGGTATGTATTGAGAAAGATTTAAATTTTACGTCGATTTCAAGTTTGCTGATAAATTGACTTTTTACAGGAAAAAAGGTCCTGCCCTACCTGTTGCTCGGTATTTTCACAACCGTGAGCATAGTAGGAGGTATGGCTCTGAAGACCTTGGCTGCCATCGCTGGCAAAGCACTAATCGCCAGTAAGGTGGCATTAACGATCGCTGGTATTATCGCTCTAAAGAAACTCTTCAGTCACGATGGAGCAACTGGAGAAACGACTTTCCAAGTTCACGCCGATGGACATCATAGGTAATTTAAAGCTGCCATATGAACACTAGGCAAACGTAATTCTGTGAGTTAATATCAAATGTTTTTAATTCTAGTCTTTAATTCGAAGGCGAAATCTTTATGTGGTGAGGCCGGCACGCATTAGCGAGAATGATCCTTACCGGTTCTACGCTGACAAGATCCCAACGAATCCCGAAGAGCAGTCAAATTGAGCTACTCACTACTTCGCTCAATCTTATCTATAGACCATACAAAATCTTCAAACCAAAGTACCGTCCATGATATTCTGATCCTGGGCACTAATTTATTCCGTGGTCCAAGTCTACGTCAGTATAAGTAATTTATTCTAATTTATTTATTTGTGACTACGGTTTAGGTAAAATTAATGTAAAATAATTTATAAATAAATGTAAGACCAAATAAAAGGGAAACTGTATCGGTGGTTTTATTGTGTATTTTATAAAATAAGAAAATTGCCTTCCAATTATAGTAAATTTTAGTATACTTAATACATTCAATCTCAAAAGTAGTCTACCGACTACTAAAGATATATAAAATATAATTAACGCAAGTCAGGCAGCGTGGAACAAATTATCTCTTACAATCAATAACATGTATTCGTTTGTAAGAATAATCCGCTTTCAAATTACTGTAATGGAAACAACTGTTGAGAATAAATCACGATAAGTTGAGATTTTCCACATGCAGTGTCTACTACGTTAGAAAGTAGAAAGCTTTTTCGACTCACTGCACATGTATAAATTGATAGTCTAGAGTTGCTTTATATGATCTTTTATGCTTTATTAAACATCGGGGTAACTAATTTCACTAGCATACTGACCTACTAAACCAATAATGATCTAGTATGTTCCGGAAAGATGTTACTTCCTTTGCTATTTGCAGTCGTGTCTATAAATGCTTGATCAATCAGTGCGTAAAGGTATGTTAACAGCAAACTAATTTATTCATTCAGGAAAGCAGTGTTCGTAGAGTGTGGTATGGCATTTGTTCGGCGGAAGGTCAGCTCGTTGATTAGTCGAGCGCCGGTAAAGGCCGACCACATTGCGCGTTTGTGCACCCGAACGCTGTTTATAATGCAGATATGTGTTTGCCCAATCGCTACACGCTACGTTGGCTATATGGCATAGCTAATGCGGCTGGAGTCTCTTTGCATACGCAAATATAGGGCGGGCAGTCCAGGCCTGATTAAGCGGTACGCTGGCGGTGACATTGGATTCATTCCTGTTTTAGGAACTGACATTTCACTTGATTACTTTCCAGAATGTGTTTCAGCAATTCGTTACAAATGAGGAACTGTTTCCAAATGAATTGTTGGATGTTTCGATAATGATTTGTGTTTTTTTCTGTATGTTGCTGTGTAGTTAAAAGAGGAATACTTAATTGCGCGTCAGGCAATACAGTAATTTAGATATAGATGATGGTATTGAATAGATATATCGTCTGTCCCTCCCAAAGGATGCTAGGAATAACCATTGCATTCAGTTATATTGTGGTCGCAGCACAAATGTACTCCCCAAGTGCACTCATTATATATGTAGGAATGACTATAATTAGGCTAGTGTCTGTAGTGTAGCAGTCCACTGACAAGTTCTTAAAATTATTTCTGGGGAAATGCGCAAAATAGTATCGGATTATTTGTAAACAGCACTCATAGGTTTTATGAATTATTATTAATATTCATTTATGAATTTACTACCCACGAATTTTTCAAATTTAGAAAACTAGTCGAAACCCAAAACGTAAGAAATACACACTACAAAAATATTTACGAGGAATACTTTCCGTTTAATTTAAGCTCTGTTTTTCAATCGACTGTTAACATATTTCAGTTAAGCTTTCGAACATTATGGATTCAGAGTATAAGAGCGTGGGCGTTGGCTGTAGAGCGAAGTTACTTTACGGACGAATGGTCAAAGTATCCGACATAAACCTATTTTGTTCTCTTCTTATATTGGATGTACGAACGCTCCCTTCTTCGTCCGCGAATGTCCGCTGTCCTTTCCATCAGGGCTGCTCATCTCAATATAATAGATTAACATTTTGGTAACAATTGATGGTAACTTCTATCGTCATCAGGTCCTATCGAGAGTTTATAATGAATGAAATAATACATGAAAATTTATCTTAAGCTTATTCCTGAGTGATACTTTACATATTAGTATACAGCAGCAACAGGTAATACCAGGCGATGTTTATATAATTTTAAAATGTTTACAAGAAACTATGTCGGTAAAATTCAATGTTTTATATCATCATGATTGATAGTACCTTTCGACTTCGTACCGTAATTTTAAGATAATTAGAAAAGAAAAGGTATATTCTAGACTATTACTAACAACATTTCTCTCGGCGTATCTTACAAAGACTCTCAATTGATTAAAAGAAGATTTATTGCGTGTTAACTTATATTATTTGGAAATTTCAAATTATGTATACTTGATGATACCCTTAATAAAATAGCACAGCCCTGTGGTAGGGCGGAGCACAGTGAGGAAGTTTTGTTGGGAATTATGTTGGTACGTGCCAAAGCCATTATTGCTGCGAGAAAAGTTCATCAATTTCATTTCTATCTTCGCACACGTCCCCACTTGGCCTTCTCTATATACATTCGAGACTAACACAAAGCGGCCATACACTATGCTGCTTAAAATATACTCTGATGTTATAGGCGTGTTTAATTATTTAATCATACTGAGAACTAAGTCCTTTCTCTGTTTTATCGTATACATATGTTCTTATAGATAATACATAAGCATACCGCCCTATCAAACAAAAATGGAAGAACTTGTTAAGTAAAATAAACATTATTTTATTTTTATCAAAAGTTATCAATGACAAACCAGGATATTAAAGAGAGTTTTATTCTGAGAAAGTATTAACGTTAATTTCATCTTCCGGCGAATATTCTTGGTGACTACGCATCGGGTTAGTTATCTAGAATAAGTGACAGTAATGGTTTAATATTGATATTTTTATGAGCATCATTTCGATAAATATGACTACGATATGAGATTCGCCTCATGACTTGTGCCTTGTTCCTTGAGAAGTCTTGAGAAGGCTGGAACTTAAGCTCATCATGTGTGTTGCAAACGCAAATGTTTGATGTATACTCTAAGTAATTTCAGTAATTATTTGTAAGTATATGGGGGTAAATAACAATACACCTAAGCTAATGAAATATTCCGTATGCCGTGGGGAGCTTCAATTAGCGGCGGATGGTCAGGTGATGGGCCACAGTCGCGAGTGCACTGAGGACCTCCTGGGGAGAACTAACAGACCTTGACTGATGGACAGGCATAAAACCTCTATATCCTTAGCGATAGAGGCTATTATTGTGTACAGTACTGGTAGGTTGGCTGCCACCCTCTGGACGTTAGGCCGTCATTATGTGTCATTAGTTTTGCGACGTTGACCAAATGACTGGTCGGTGATATCGAATGACTCATCCAGCGTGATTAGGCTCTGTGATTTTCTAAACTGTATGTAATTCTTATGCCCTGAAGCTACTGTTATTATAACTAACTTTAATTAATTTAAATGAAGATGTACCCTGATAAGATTTTTGGTAGACGCATTTTTGCCTAGAATTTATGTAACAACGACCGTTTATGTCATATAGGCAAGACACTACTTAATTTTTCCATTATTTGTAAATATTGAAAATATAACCCTCAAGATCTATGAGGTGGCAAATAACATCATGTTTTGAGACACTTTAAAACACAGTAGAACTCCAATTATCCGAATTAATGGGGACCGGGACCCATTCGGATAATCAAATATTCGGATAGTCGGATTTTAAAAAAAAAAATTGCCATTGGAGAGAATAAAAGCTACGTTTTGATATTGCACTATCTTTTTATTGAATTAAATGAAAGAAACATGAAATTTGCACATGTTTTAAATATAAATAAAATGTACTTATGTACAAGTTTAGAAATAAAAATCATTGTTTTTTAAACATCTCCGTCAATGTAAGCTGTTTTGCGGTCTTCAACCGTTTTCGGGCAGCCAGGTCACGCATTCGCTTGACGGTGAGCAGTTGCAAGTGGTCACACTCGCACTTCGGATAATCGGCGATTCGGATAGTCGGAGTTCGAATAATTGGAGTTCTACTGCAGTTGAATATCTCCACGTTTTCATGTCTGTGCACTTGAATTAGCGACAATTAATTTGTTTTAGAGTAGGATTTAATTCGTCGGTAGTATATTGATTAGTCCACAATATTCATAGCTACATTGTCTGGTCTAATTGGGTTGAACGAATTTACGGTCCCCGCTGTTTGTACAGGCTATCTGCCCTCCTAATTATACAATAAATTTCAATAAGCAACATATATTACTTGACGTGTTATTGGAAAGATGCCATAAAATAAACACTATTGCAATTAAGCTGTGAGTTGGGGTTTATTTAAGATTTACTATTGTATTGTTAGATACAATAAAGGTAGTGCGCGATATACTTTAATAAAAAAAAACATATATGAAACAAATTCAATAATAATGTGAATAAAAATTTGTTACTTAAAAATTATCATAAGTTTTTATTAATTATTAACCATAAATTCACTATTCAAAACACTCATATTTTGTTCTTACGAGAACGAGACAATATATTTTTTTTATAATTTTAAGTTAGTAATTTTATTTTATAGGTACCTTTTTCGAAAATATATGTAAAAAAGGTAGACTGTTTCTTTAAAATTAATCATTAATCTTCTATTCTTCATGTGATTGAATATTTATTTTATATGGGCTTAGATTTGATTTAAGCCTAGGCATGCATTATGTTAGTCCATTATGCTTCTTGTTTGAGACTATAAATATGAACGTAAAAGTAAATATCACGCGAATGTTATAGGTATTGTTTTGTAAGGAGACAGCTGAGGAAAACAATTAATCCCCGGTAAATATAATCTCCAAGTTGTAATTTATATTGTCTGTTGCAGGCGAGTCCCGTTGCACATTCATTTATTTTATGTGCCATTTACAATTGTCGGTCGATGGTCAAGGGAGCGGGTGAGCGATGGAGGGGGTCTGCCTTCGCGTTATAAAACCGAGCGGTCATCTGCAAACTCCGTAATGGCTTTTCTTAATAGCTTTCACCCGGATGTAGCGTGTATGAAATGTTAAATCGATGTCCAGTTACGGCTTCTTATCATTGTATGAGTGCCTAGGTAGTCTTATATATG